CTGCAAGCAATGTAGCAGAGGCAGCAGGAAAGTATCTTAATAACTACCCGCCAGCATGAAGCCATGAGTTCCCAACTTTTGTTTCTCCCGAAATGGCATCAGCAGCAGAAGGAGCAGCAGTATTTTCAGTCGCAGAAACACAGCTAGCCGGGCGTTGGGTTGTTGTATGGATGGCTGGCCATCCCACAGTGGCTGCTGGCAATTCCACAGAGAATCTTCAGCCGGCTGATGAGCTACCCAGCTGACTTCGGTCGACAGCTTTCTTGAACGCCGGGCTACAATTAATCCTTACCAGCAGCCAGAGCAAGATGGCTAGAAAAGCCCAGACGCAAGCGGTGGCTAGCAGTGAGACGGACATGATTGCTTGGATGGCTGCGGAGCCTGATCAGGCGTTAGTCGCGAGGAGCTAGCTGGATAACGCTGCTTGGTTGTCGCCGTCTGACGGGTGTTATGCGGAAGGAAACAACGAGGATGCGAAGGTGTTTTTGGGGAATGGCTACGGTACAGTAAGCAGGCGTTTTAGATCCAAGGAACAGGCGCTGGAGGAAACTGTTGACCTTCCTGGGGACACGCGCATGCCAACTGTGGCACACGACTCCTTGCGTTTTGTTCGCCCTCTGTAGGACGGATATCTTTTTTAAGCAAATTTCAGTTATTATGCAAACGGTTTGCTTACTTCCCTGCCTTGCGCGTTGGAAGCTAATGGCATGGACCTGTGTACCGCTTGGGAAAACATGCCTAACTGCTTTCAATATCCAGTTTGTTACATTGTCAGTGCAACTCAGGTTGAGAGGCTGCTGTTGTTAGGCTCGTAGCGTGGGGAAGACAATGTTCCTAACACCCCTCGATCACTCAACTGGTTGCTGAAGGCGGCAAAATTAATATGATGTTGTTTACAGCAGCATCCAATGACCATTGCGAGCATGAGCTGGAGGCTGCGACCCATGGGTCGTCATGCACGGCCGCGGTCGCCTTCCACGTTCCTGTCCATACTAGAGCCCGCTTCACAGCAATGTGCAGGTGTGGGATCGAACACGCACAGTAGCATAACATGGCTCCATGCGTGCTGCATCCGCATATGACGTTGAAGTACGGCACGACCATGCAGCAGGCTGCCAAACCGTCTCCTCAGATCACAGGTGCATCAAGATGGCAATGTCGAAGCGTAAAACAGAATAACCACGGGTAAATGACTTTTCAGTTATACATGATCACAAATGTCAGGTGCAAGATCACACACACACACACACAGCGACGATGATCACACACTACTGAATCACCCACCACATCCTCTTCTCCCCTGTCGCCGCAACAGCTATCCATTTATTCTCGCCTTGGACAACGGAAGACAACATGATCTATCTGCCTTTCTCTCTCTCTCTTTCCTCACGGCCAGTATCATCAGGCGCTGCCGTACTTCCCTACATAGCCCTGCGAGTGCCTATCCCCGTGTCACGCACACGGGGTACGCCTGGTTGCCGCAGGGTGCCGTGAGCAGCGAGCCGCTCTGTCCCTTGTACAGCGGGCACAGGTCGGTCTGCCGGAGCCTGCCGCCGAACCAGCAGTCGCGGCCCTTGGGGTAGCAGATCTGGTTGAACGCAACTGCATGCAGGGGGAACATGGGGGCGGGAAGGGGTGCATGGTGATGCATGGAACAGGGCACGTTGTGGCGAGGGTGCCAGCAACACAGCACGCATGGCTAAGCGAGGACTGCTGCATGCCGGGGCTGCAGAACTGCTACGCATGAGTGGGATTGGGCCGTCGCCCTTCCTCCGCTGGAATCCGCACCCCAGCCTCCCCAGCATCGCCCGCCAGTGCCCAGCCCAGTACCCAGTACCCGGTCCCCATTGCTACTGCGGTGCGGTACGGAACGGTTCGGTACGGCACTCACGGTTCGCGTCCCTGTCGGACACGGGCGCCAGCCTGCCTCCCTTCTGCGCACAGAATGTCTCCGCCTGCTGGTATGTCAGCTGCCGTTCCACCCACACCGTGTATACGTTCTTGTTGATCACGATCTTCGTCACACCTGCAGCAGTAGCAGCGGAAGGGAAGGAAGGGAGGAGGGGGGGTGGGAGAAAGGGAAATCACGAAGAAGATCAACCAAGTTATGGTTGATAGATGCAACCCGTGTTGAGAGCCCCTGACGATTGAATGCAAGGAGGAGAGGGCGTTGAGGGAGGGGTGGGTTGGCTAGGGGTGGGTTGGCTAGGAAACGCCATACACGTGTGGTGCATGCAGAATCCAAGGATGCAGCGTACCCTTAGGAGGCGGAGGAGGCGAGCGCTCGGGGCGAGGCGGCCGAGGTGCCTTAGGGGGAGGAGTGGGCGGCTTGGGGGGAGGAGGAGAGGGCGACGGGGGCCGCCGGGGAGGAGGGGAAGGCCGGGGCGGGCGCGGAGACGGGGGAGAGGGTGAGGGCGGCGCCGGGGAGGGGGGCGAAGGAGAGGGAGGTGCAGGGGAAGGAGGCGAGGGGGAGGGAGGAGAAGGAGAGGGAGGCGAGGGCGAGGGAGGAGAAGGAGAGGGAGGCGAGGGCGAGGGAGGAGAAGGAGAGGGAGGCGAGGGGGAGGGCGGCAGCGGCGACGGGGGAGGCGGCGAGGGCGAAGGAGGCGACGGGGGAGAGGGTGGCGAGGGCGGGTTGGGGGAGGGCGGCGAGGGCGGGTTGGGGGAAGGAGGAGAAGGGGGCTTAGGAGAAGGAGGCTTGGGCGACGGCGGGGACGGTGAAGGAGGCTTGGGCGATGGCGGGGACGGTGAAGGAGGCTTGGGCGATGGCGGGGACGGTGAAGGAGGCTTGGGCGATGGCGGGGACGGTGAAGGAGGCTTGGGCGATGGCGGGGACGGTGAAGGAGGCTTGGGCGATGGCGGGGACGGTGAAGGAGGCTTGGGCGATGGCGGGGACGGTGACGGAGGCTTGGGCGATGGCGGGGACGGTGACGGAGGCTTGGGCGATGGCGGGGACGGTGAAGGAGGCTTGGGCGATGGCGGGGACGGTGAAGGAGGCTTGGGCGATGGGGGGGACGGTGAAGGAGGCTTGGGCGGCGATGGCGGGGACGGTGAAGGAGGCTTGGGCGATGGCGGGGACGGTGAAGGAGGCTTGGGCGATGGCGGCTTAGGTGACGGTGGTTCAGGTGATAGCGGGCTCGGCGGTTTCGACTTCACCCACTTTGTGGTCTTGCCGGCGGCTTCTTCCGCACTCACGGCTGGTGGGGGAGGGAGGACGTAGCAGGGCAAGGGACGTGCACGGTGGCGTGGTGGGTGGGTAAAGAGGAGGTCAGACATGGAGGATACGCCTTCCTTCCTTCCTTCCTTGCTTGCTTCCTTCCTGATGCTTCCTTTGCTTGCAGACATTACCTTGCCTATCCCCTTGCTGCCCCCCTGCTCCTCCTTTGCTGTCTTTCCCTACTGTCCCCCTGCCCCTCTGTTACCATATCTGCCTGCTCCCCCCCAGTCACTCACCTGCCGGGCTGCAGCAGGCCAGCAGCACCGCCAGCAGCGCTAGCCAGGCGGCCCCGCGCACGGCGGCGGAGCGAGCCATGGGAAGGGATCGGCCTCCTCTCCCGGGGTTGGAGGGGCTGCTGCTTGCTTGGGACCGGCTAGAACTTGAAGGGTAAAACAAGGTACCAACCCAAAATTGGCTCAGGACAGGGACGGCTGCCCTGCGCTTTCCTAGCCCACCTGGCTAGGTGTAAGATGTGCTTTGTAGGCAAGGCGGGTGGAGGAACGGATGCGGTGATGGTTTAGGCAGCGCGGGTTGCCAGTTATGTAGTATTTTTGCGTGCGGGGCAGGAACGGGCGCGACCGTTGGTGTTAGTTCGTTGGTCTTGGCTGGGTCAACTGCCGGCCCGCCCATCAACAACGGCCGGCCGTTAGGCTTTCTAGGATCCAGAGACGCGGGTCTTGGTCTCTCTTTCTCAGTCTCGAAGAATGAGCATCGTCAACCTCGCTACACGCTAAGCTAACATGTGTGGTTGTGTGCTTCCTCGTGAACGCATATCAGTTAGGCTGGAAGCTGGTTTTGTTGCGGACAGTGTGCTGTTCCATGTCACAGCTCCTGCAGAAGAAAGCTGCGACCCGGGTGCTCCCAGCCCCCTCGTCGGGAGCTAACTCAATGTAACTCAAAGTGGGTGACGCAGCTTGTGCACAGATGTGGGGTGGCGAGCTTTCCTCGGTAGCCAGGACCACAACCAATTGCAAAGGGTCCGACCTGACAACACAGGGCGGGTTGGGCAGCAGCACCTGACAACAACCTCGAACCAGCACTTGGCGCTGCCCTGCATGCACGCACGCTTGCAGAACAGGCATACCTGCGATCCTGCTGATATCAAGGAACAGGGGCGGGATAGGGCTTCCCGCCTACGGCACACATCGTTTTGAACCCCAACCCTACACGCTCGCAGCATGCTACATGCGGCCATTGCCGCCTTGTACCTCAGGTATGTAATGCCAAGGACAGTCACGCGTGTGCATACGGTACCCCCGCGCTAGAAGGGTTCTTAAGGGAGGTAGCTTCACATTCCAGGGCTCAGGTGACCCGCTAAGTCAGGAATCCTAGCAACGCCATTCCCTGCACCAACAAGCCCATCTAGCGGCTTTCCGTCACCTAGAACCACCGCCACCTTCGCGCTGACGTTTAGGCCTGGGCTTTCCGACGTGCCTTGCTTGACCGGACGAGCTCGCGCCTTGCGTGCTGCCGATAAGCTTTCCAACTAGCCGGATACCAGCCATGATGTCGTCTGCTACACCTATTTGCCGTAACGCTAGCTAGGGTATGGCGATCCCGTGGCTGCAGCGACCGAGCTCATGCCTTGAGATGAGTGGTGCCCGCAGAACTGGGAGAAACCTGCATGCTCATGACACTTTTGCGTAAACACTAGCAGCATCTTTCAGCCCAACGAAGCAGTTAACGTGTACGCCAGCTGAGAAGGGCTAAGTTGACGTTTAGGGTGTTGCAGTACGCATGAAGCCGCGTGCAAGGCAGGATTGCGGGAATATACGCAAACTTATACGCAAACTGTAGGTAGAAGTACTTTTGCTTGCCAGGTGTACTGCTTGTCAGGCCCTTGGTCTCCCCTTCCCCATGCTGATTCCGGTTTGCTAGCCAGAGGGCTTGCATGTAGCCGCCCTATCTATTACTGTATACGTTCATAGGGACAGAAGTGTTTAGGCTTATAAGGAGCGTTTCTTAACTTTGTCCTAGTGAGCAACTTCATATCAAGCCACGGGTGCGTTTCCTGACGTTTTTCGGGGTGGACCGCTATCAACTAGTCCGCCTAAGACATAGTATCATTACCACATATCCATGCCGGTTGCACGGCTTCTGTAGAGGAGCTGAGCGTGGGGGGAACATCCCGCCTTAGCATCCCCTCGCGCGTCGGGCTTGCGTCAACGCCTTTCGGACCCCAGTTTACGGAACGTTTCTCATGGATGTCGACATGCCTGCTGGCGAGCAAGCCAGCGCAAATCTGGCGTCACAGGAGGCCTCGGCGCAGGCCACATTGGGCCCTGCCTCTGCAGCCGCGCGCACGCCAGATGGCAACCTGCAGCCTCCTGCAAGCATCTCTGGGAGTGGAGCTATTGCTGACAAAGAAACTGGGATCGCGCAACAGCCAGCCGACGCCATCACCCAGCCCGGTAAGCAGGCCTCTTTTCACCTCGGACCGCAGGTCCCTTCTCATGACCCCACCCGAATCCTTTCTCTGCATCCCGCTTTTGCATTCTAGCCCGGATCTTAACACTGCCATGCATATTACCAATGTTGCTTGTCCATGCATATTACCAATGTTGCTTGCCCAAACAGCCGACCATTCGGGACCGGCCGGCCCGCCTGCGCACCCAAGTACCCTACCACTACCACCACAACAACAGCTGACTGGCGCTGCTGCTGCTTCTGCTGCTGCTTCTGAGCAACCTGAGGACGCCGCAGCCGACACCATCCCGACTCCAATGGACGAAGACCCCCCACCGCCTCCCTTGCATCTGTCACTTGATCCCCCGCCGCCTGCCGACAGCGGCACAGGCCCCGCCGGGGATGCGACTGCTGCTGCTGCTGCCGACCTGGCAGCGACAGCAGCAGCGCCCGGTGCCACCGCTACTGTGCCGGCCTCAAACGCTACCCAGGATGACACGACCGCTAAACAACCCACGGATGATAGTGCAACAGCAACCGCAGCAGCAACAGGAACAGCAGCAACAGCAGCAGCAACCAATGCCCCTGATGCAACAACAGCAGCAGGTGCCGAACCGCGTCCCAACAAGCGCCGGCGTGTTGGATCGTCCAACGGGGGCCTTATCAAGGAGCTCAAAGGCCTCCTGGATTGCAGCTTGTCTTTCGACGCACCCGCCTCCAGGGCTTCCAGATCAGCCAGCCGGTTGTCTACGGCAGCGGCGACGACTGCGACGGCGGCGGCGGCGGCGGAAGCCCCGCAACCTGGGTCTCCGTCGGCGGCGGCGGTGGCGGCGTACGGAGCCGCGGCGCCGGCACCTCGCAGCGCCGCACTAGCCGCCGCCGCCGCGGTTACCAAGGCGCTCACGGGCGGAAGCAAGCGCAGTAACACCGGTACGGCTGGCTCTAGCGCTGGCGGAGGTGGAAGTGGCAGCGCCCGGAAAGCTGACGGCGGCGGCGGCGGAGGTACGGCAGGCGGTGATGCTTCATTAGATGCCGCTGCCGCCGCCGCCATGGTACCCGACGGTGCCAATGCCTCAGAGCGTGCGAAGGAGGCTGCCCAGGCGGCAGCGGCGGCAAGACGATCGGGCGGCGGTGATCGGGCTTCCGCTGCTGCAGCTGGAAACAGCTCCGGCGGCGGCGGCGCACGTCCTCCAGCCGCCGGTAATGGTAAGAAAAACGGCTCAAGCAAGCCAGCGACGGGGAGCGCCACGGCCTCGAAACCCCCTCGCGGGGCCAAGGGAGGCTCCTCTGCTCCCTCCGCCAAGTCAGAACCCCCCGGCGCCTCAACCGCAGGCAGGGCCGCGTCAGCGGCGGCCGGCGGCGGTAACGGTGGCGCCGTCGCCGCCGGCATCAGCCCCGCAGCGGCGGCGGCGGCCGCCGCCGCCGCCGCCGACGGGCGCATCAGCCTCGCGGGTCTCGGTTGCGGCCTGAACTCGTACACGTACTACCCGCTACGCGGCAGCAACATCATGGCCTTCTATCCTGGTTCCATTGTGGTCGCGCATGTGGGTCGGCTACCGGCCATGCACTCGCCCAACGACTCGTCCGTGCCCGGCGTCGCATGTGTGGCGCCATTGGCGTTACGTCGGCTGACGACGGAGGTACCGCCGCCTGCGGTGCGGCTCGCTCGCGGGCACACGATGTACATGCCGGGGCGCTTCCGTGGCAGCGACGAGGGGGATGCGGCAGCAGCAGCAGCACCGGCAGCAGCTGCTGGTGCTGTTGTTGTTACTGATGGCGGCAGCAATGGCGGCAAGGACGACTCTGTGGCTGCGGCGGCGGCGGATGCTTCATTGGAGGGTGCTGGCGCGAGAGCGGATGTGTGTACAGAAGGAGGGCAGCAGCCAAAGGAACAGCAGCAGCAGCAGCAGAAGGAACAACAGCAGCAGCAGCAGAAGGAACAACAGCAGCAGCAGCAGAAGGAACCGCAGCAGCGGTCTGGGCATGTTAAGCCGGAAGCTGGTGAGAGTGAAGCTGCTAGTCGAGGCAACTGTGTCCGTGTCAAGGATGAGGCGGAACGAGAAGAGGAGGAGGAGGAGGAGCTTGATGGCGGGGTTTTCAGTGCCCATGGCGAGGGCCCGCCGCTGCTGCGACGGCGTTTAGTGTACGGATTGCTAGCGCCGCCGCCGTCTGCAAACGGCGCTGCTGCTGCTGCCAGAGCTGATCTCAGCGGCGGCGGCAGCAGCGGCAGCGGTGAGAAGTGCACTCGCGGCGGAGCGTTGAGTACGGCGGGTTGCTCACAGGTCATTCCTTCGCTCGCCTTTTCCCGCCGGTTGAATGCGCCTCGGCTGTACTGGGGCCCGCAATACCAGGTGGGGCAGCGGTGGGGGGAGGTGAGGGCTGTCGTGCGCTGCTGGGCTTGCGGCATGCTTCCGTCCGTGGTTGAACACGTGAACCGCCCTGTGTAGCATGACCCTTGTCGCCACAACCTGCCAAGTCTTGCATCCTGCCTCGAATCCGCCTCTCTGTTCATACCCTGGACCTTGCCCTTTACCCACACCTGCTCAAAACTAAAAACACCCAACCGGCATCCCGGCATAAACCCCCAGGCCCATGTACCGCCGCCGCCGTCGTCCCACGATGCGACCACCGGTGCCCGTCATCCCCGGCGTCCTCCCAGCCCCGCCACCCTAGCCCTCATGGGGCAACAGCTGCATGCCGCTCAGCCTCTGTCAGCGGCCGCAGCGGCGGTGGCTGAGCGGAATGAGGCGGAGGAGCTGGCGGCGGTGAATGCGACAAGGGCCGAGCTGGGGCTGCCGCCGTGGCGGCCGCGGCGGGCCGGGTCGGTGGAGGCGCGGGCGGCTGCTGGGCGACCCATGAGTCTCTCGCCTGGGCTTGCGGATGATGGTGGTGATGGTGGGGGTGGAGCTGTTGAGGGAGCTGCTGTGAAGAGGGAAGGTGGGAAGGGCGGAGGGAGCTTGGAGGTGGCTGCTGCGGTGGTGGTGCAGCAAGGGGTGCAGGAGGAGGTGGTGGTGCAGCAGGGGGAGGAGGTGGTGGTAAAGGAGGAGGTGGAGGTGATGATGGAGGTGGTGAAGGTCGAGGAGGAGGAAGAAGAGCAGCTGGTACGGCAGCAACAGCCAGAAGCGGAAGCGCAGTTACAGCAGCAGGAGCAGCAGCAAGGACAGCAGGAGTCCTTCTTGTTCCCGGCGGATGGCGGCCTGTGCGGGCGGGTGCAGCAGGGGCTAGCGGAGGCGGGAGGCAACATGGCGGCCCGGCAGCGTGTCATGTCGGCAGCGCTTGGGGAGCTGGATGGGCGGCTGGGGGGCATGACGGAGGTAAGCATGGGGGCTGGAGGGAGCATCAGCGCTGGGAGGCGTTGCATGGATGCATGGAAGGGCGGTGGCCTGTGTGGCGTTGGTCATGTGTGACTGGCCAAACTGGGAGTTGTTCAACGTCCCCTGTCCCGACTGCTGCCTGGTTCTCTCCCTCAGCCCATCCACGAGTCTCCGCTGCTGCGGCTAGGTGTATGCGTGTATCATGCCTGTGCGTGCGGTTGCTTGCATGGCTTGTCTCACTCCCCCCTGGTTGGACCCCTGCCCGGCTGCTGCCCCCCCCATGTCATGGCTGCTGCCAGGTGCTGGGGGTGGCGTGCATGGGAGCCCGGGTGCGGGGCGGCTGGAGCGAGGCGGGCGAGGAGGCGTTCGCGGGCGCCATGCGGCAGAGGGACAGCAGCCTGGGGCAGGTGCTCAAGGTGGGTGGGGTGGAGAGCTGGGGGCGCGGAGTACAGTAGCTGGGGAGGGATGGCTCGAGGGGGCGGAGGAGGAGGAGTGGAAAGAAGGGTGGTGTCGGGAGTGGCGGGTTCAGGGAAGCTGGTGGGAAGGCTCTTTGCCGTCCCCAGGCGGCCTTACCGGTACCTCTCGTGCGCCCCTAAAACCCGCCTTCCCTCGCCAATTGCACACGCGGGTCCTGTCCTGTCCTGCAGGCGCCTCAGACCATGTCCCGGCTGCAACACGACGCAGCCGGAGTCGTATCGTATTACTACAACGTGTGGAAAACGCGCACGACGCCGGCGGCGCAGGCATGGCATGAAGAGCGGGAGCGGCAGCGGGCGGGCGGCGACAGCAGCAGCGGCGGCGGCGGCGGAGCAGGAGGGGGTCCCTCACAGCAGCCGGGGCGAGGATGCGGTGAAGAGGGGAGTAATGACAGTAACAACGGCAATGGAGATGAGAACATTGGTAACAAGCAGAGCAAGCAGCAGCAGCAAAGGCAGAGCAAGCAGCAACAGCAGAAAGAGCAAGGCAAGCAGCAGAAACAGCAAAAGCAAGGGGAGCAGCCTGGGGGTGGTGGCGGCGGTAGCGCGCGAGAAGACAACAAGAAGAAGAAGGCGGGTGCCGTACGGGAGGCTCCAACGCAGCAACGGGTGATACAGCTGAAGCCGCAGCCGCAGGCAAAGGCTGCGGCGGAAGTGAAGGAGGAGGAGGAGGAGGCTGTTGAGGCTGAAGGTGCGGAGGCGGGTGTGGGCGAGATGGTGGCGGAGGGGGCTGCAGAGGCCTCTGATGAACAGCAGCAGCAGCAGGTGGTGGAGGAGGAGAGCGGGAGCGGTGGGGGTCAGCCGCAGGAGGCAGGCGGGGTGTAAGGAAGCGGGGAGAGTGACGGAGAGGAGTTTGCAGGACTGGTGTGAGCCGCTGCAAGCGTAGAGGGAAGTGTAGAGGGAAGGGGAAGTAGGTTGCTCTGCTGGCGCCTGGGACGTTGGGTAGGGTTCGGGCGGGGACGGTACAGGGTACAGAACTGATTGCCGAAGCATGGAGGGCTCTGGGTGTTTCACGCGCGTGTGTGTTCGTATAGTCGTATCAGTACATGGTCCCAAGGTACGTGTCGTACCGGTGTACCGGTGTCTGTTAGCGCAGGTGTGCATGGGTATGTGTTTCGCGTTGCCCAATTGGGAATGTCTGTCTGGTTAGCGGTTGGCTGTGTAGGCTTGCAGACCTGGCCGCTCATCGTAGCTGTGTAGGAGCCGTTAGGACAGACCTACGCAAGGTAGCACAAGCCTGCAACGCACTGGTCACCTATGACTCTTGTAGGGATAGACCAGGTGCCTCTCTCATGGGGATAGGAGTAAAGCGATGAGGAGTATGGGAGGGTGTGTGCGGCGCGATGGGTACCCTGAGTGTCTGCAGAATGTCATGGGCGCCTGAAGTGTGGGCAGGTTGGCAAAACCCGTGGAAATCGTATGTGAGGTTGCGACAGACAAAGACACAATTATCGTGAGTAAGGATGATAATGCAAGTAGAGTCAAGGAAAGGGACGAAAGAGCGAACGCGCGACAACAACGCAGCAAATACCCTTCGCTGTGTTCGCTTGCGATTGTTGGTTACAGGGTATTATATATTTGTTTGTAACAGCTATGCGTTGGCTGTAGGCCGTATACGTCCCTTGGGAGCATGGCGCCACCAGGTCCTGTATATAAAGGTTCCTTTCACTATCATCGCCATGCCCATATAGCTCGTAAACGTACGGTAGGCACGGCTATACGATCGGTACGGCACAATTGGCATACCTCGCTGCATGTGACACCTACTACGTCTGCATCCGGCTGGGCGCTGAGACCACGTTATCCACGTGCACCGAGAGCAAAAACTGCTGCAATGCCACCTCCCCGACCGCACGAATGCACACGAGCATGGATAGCCTATGGCCTACAAAACATGGCAGGAGAGGGCCAACCCCAAAACACTTGGGGAACGCCCCTTTACACATCTACACAGGAGACTGTCGTCCTTGCCAGTTCGCACCATACACTCACGTCCGCGCTTCCGAACTGCCGGGTCACACCTCCGGGACAAGTGTTAGTTGGCTGCTGCTCAGCAGTGCTAGTTAATATACATACAGCCACTACCCGAATGTGTACGACACCCGGTGGAGTCTCCCAGCTATTAGCTCCCAGCATAGCCGGCATGCTACGGTATACCACACCTCCCCACAGCGAGGGGTCAGTCCAACACCGCTCGCGGCTCTAGTGTCGACAAAGCCTATCAACCAGGCATACCTACCAGGCATACGGCAAGGTAGTAGTGACCCAGTCGGCCGCATGCCAGCAGCCCCGCGCATCCTGCAGCAGCAGCAGCAGCTGCAGCCGCACAAGCCCCCCCTTACAGCTTCACGACACCCGCACACCAGCACACATGCAAACCTGCACACCCCGCTGCGGTCCACTCCCCCAGCGGTAGGTAGTCCAGGGCAGGCTGGCGGCCCACGCGGGGGGCTGTCCGCCCCAAGCAAGCTCTGTGCCGAGTCTGTGAGACCCGTGTCTATTCACCCGGCACGGCTCCCGGCACTGGGGCTCCCAAGCTTAACTAACCTCATCAACACTATCCTCATCATTTCTTTCCTGCCCCCGCTTCCCCCACTGTCGCTGCTGCTGCTGCTGGTGTCGGTGGTGCTGCCGTTGCTTTATTATGCGCATGCCCGGAACACCGACACCGCGCTCCATGTGCTGCGGCTGCTGCTGTTCCAGAAGCAGCTGCAGCCGCTCCTCCTCCTCCTGCACCTCTCCCTGCCGCTACTCCCGCTCCAGCCCCCGCCCCCGCCGCTGCAGACGCAGGATGCCGCGGCCGCTGCCCCGCCGCCGGCACCGGCGGGCTTATCAACGATGACGGTCCGTACAGCGTCGCGCAGCGTCCCTCAAAGGCGCCGCTCATTTGCTTGACGACCTCGTTGAAGAAGATGTCCGCTAGATAGCCGTGAAGCTGCGAGCGGAAGGCAAAGTCCACGGAAAAGGAGAGCCAGCAGGTGCGGGGTGTGGGCCCTGCCTCCATGGTCCAGGTAGAGTCGAGGTGGTGGAAGAGGGAGCTGTCGGCGACGCGCGAGCGAACTGAGCGTCCGGGGGCCAGGAAGACTTGGCTAGTGTACCTGCGTGAGGGTGTGCGGGTTGTGGGATTTGGTGGGTTGGGTTGTGGATGGGTGGAGGAAGGGTGGGTGGAGGTGAGGGATGTGGGTGAGGGCATGGGCGATGGATGAGAAGTGCGGGAGTGCAGGGAGCGTGGTCGGGAGCTGCGAACGAAGGAGACGTACCTTTCTACGAGGACCTGGAAACCGACTTCAAGCTCTGCTTCCATGTAGTTGTTGGAGGCCGGCTTAACTACGGTTGAGCGCTGGCACCATGGCACGAATTTGTAGTAGTCTTCAACGCGCGAAACAACGGTATAAAGTTGCTCGGGTGTCCACCTGAAAGCGCGTCGTGCACACACAGAAAGGTGAAAGGCTTGTAGGGAGCAGGGAAGGCTCTCGTGTTAACTATCGTCGGGTCAGTCCCGTGGAGTCATGGATGTGCAACAGTGCAGCCTCGGAAAAGCAACTTGCTAACGTTTGCGATGCTTTTGAATGCTCACCCTACGAGTCGACGCTGGTTGTACTTTTTAGATGCTGGTGCTGTCCCCATAGTAAAGAAACCACGAGCTGACGTTGATGCCTGCGCGTGCGACAGGTTCCGTGCCTCCTCCAAAAGTCTCCCAGAGTGCTGGATGCTATCGGAGATAGCATGTATGGACGCAACATTGTTATGTGCTAGCAGAGAAGCGGCGGCGACGGATTGACGACATTCTGCGGCGCGAAGGGCGCAACGTGCTAACCCTAAGGCCGAGGTAAATCCTTTCCTAGGTGTCATGTGTCTTAAGTATTTGTTTTAGCGATTAGCAACGTAAATAAGCCTTGAAGCTGTCGGTGTACCAAGCCAAGCAGCCCAAAAAAAGGGTAAAACGTGGAGGTGCACAAACGAAGAGATGCGAAAAAAACACGTTCCTTTGGTATCAGATTGGCCATGTCAGGTAGCGCGATTACCGGTATTACAGCTCGTACGTGATTGCAATTGGGGCCAAACATTGTTGCCAACGTGCAAACGGTCGATGCATCTTTTTTCGTCTCTAGTACATGATACCGTATTGGTTCAATAACATTGCGCTCGGTATCGGTCGCGGCGGCTGTCCGTATCCGCCGCTTGAGCTCATGCAGCCCCACAACTAGTGCTTCCTGACCATCCTTACTACATGGGGCGCAAAAGGTGCTCCTTCTCAACCGCCGCAGCACCACCGCTGCTGCATGCCGGTCTTTGTGACCAAGGTGAGTTTCACGCGGCATGTCGGGTTACTCGTCTACAGCCCAAAGCTCCTCCTCGCACAGCCGCCGCCCCAAACTGAAATTTGACCTCATGGTGGAGCCGTTTGTCAGTCACACAACCTCCTAGGACGCATCCCGGGCAGCCAGCCTGCCCTGCCTCCACCCAACACTCCCCAAAGCCACGCCCCCACCACCTCTTCCTCCTCCTCTATCCTTCCTCCTATTCCTCCCCATCCTCCTCACATCCGGAACTCCTTCAATCCCGTGGCACAGGTCGCCCGGTACCGTTACTCTCCACGTCCACTCCACCCTGCTCCATCAGCAACAGTACCAGCACTGCTGCTGCAGGCATCAGCCACCCCAGCAGCAGCAACAGCAGCAGCTGGGGGAGCCGCGCTCACCGTACCGACGATGGCCCCGGCGGAAGGTCCCTCACAGCGGCCGCCCCTCCCTCCGCTGCTGTAACCCCCCTGCTGATACCTGCGGCGGGCGCGGTGGGGTTCCCGACAGTGGCGAGAACCGCAGCAGGAGCAGCCCCAGCAGCAGGAGCAGCAGCAGGAGCAGCAGCAGGAGCAGCAGCAGGAGCAGCAGCAGGAGCAGCAGCAGGAGCAGCGGCGACTGGGTTCCCCTCGGAATGGTGGGTTTGGACGCTCCAGCCAGAGAGGAGCAGCGGCAGCAGCTGCAACAAAGGCAACTGTACGACGACAGCTGTACGTACAACACCACCAGCAGCAGCAGCAACAGCGCTGACAAGTACGGCAGCAAGTACGGCAATGGCGGCTGCGAGGTGGCCTTGGCAGCGGTTGCATGCTGGCGGCGGTAGCAGCGGCGGTAGCAGCGGTGGTGGTGGTGGTGGAGGGGGGAGTTGGGCAACGCCGTTGCCTTCATCGTCACAGCAGCAGCACCAGCAGCCCCAGCAGCGGAGGAGGCAGCAGCAGCAGCTGTCGCATGGAGGCTCCGGCGGCTGCAGCAGGACCATGTTGCTAGCGAGCCTCACCACCTCGGCAGTAGCAGCTGCGGCTGCTGCTGCGACTGCTGCAGCTTCAACGCCCGCCGCTTTGGGGAAACCCACATTGGACCGCAGCAGCAGCAGTGGCGGCGGCAGCAGCCTAGGTGGTGGAGGAGGAGGCCTGCCAATCCCTGGTTCCGTTGGAAGTCAGGGGGCCGTGGGGGCTGCTGGCGGTGGCGGTGGCGGTGGCGGAGGTATTGTTGTACGACACGGCTTCCACCTACCTCAGTGAGTGGGAAGCGGAGGGACCTGCAGTTGTTATTCTTGCGTGTGGTGGTGGTGGTGGTGGGATGTCGTTTGCCATGGTAAACGCCGCATAATGGTGCCTAACCTGGCCCTCCCCAATCCCACCTTCCCCCCCAGGCTAAGCATCATGCGGCTGCCGCCTCCCTTCACCGCGCCCTCCTTCGCGGCGGATCAGGACCTAGCGCAGGAGCTGCTGGACTATCACACCGCGAAACATGGGGTGAGGGCTGTTGTGCGGAAATTGCACAATGGAACATAACATCGCATACCGGTATGTTTGAGACGCATGCTTGTGACGACCCATGGGTCACCCATAGGCTGCAGTTTTCCTCCTCCGCCTTATTACCCCCCTCTCCCCTACATGCGCTGCGACACCGCACGCTGCATCGCACATACCCACACGCCCGCTACCCCTCGCAGGCCTACCCCCGGCCCTGCCCCCTCTGCAACTCAGCCGACTTCATGACTCGGAACCCCCAGCCCCCTGCGACATCCACATCCCCCACACCTCCTCCTCCTTCTTCTTCAACCACCCCCTCGGCTGCCACCGGCACCAGCAACCCCACCACCACTACCACGAGCAGCACCACTAGCAACCAAAGCAGCAGCAGTGGCAGCAACCCCGCCACCAGCCCCAGCCCCAGTGCTGCGGTGGTGTGTTGGGCAAGCCGGCCTCTGGCCTGCGACACGTGCGGCCGCTGGGTGCATCTGGGGTGTGCGGGGGTGGGGCGGGCGGAGCAGGTGCCGCCGCGGCCCTGGTTCCACTGCGGGGAGTGCAGGTGGGGGCGGGGGTGGGGGCGGGAGGAGGGGAAGGGGGAGGAGAACGCTGGGTACGAGGTAATGATTTGGCTTGCATGGCCTCCTGAGGACACGTGCATCCTCGCATGCCCCCTCGCTCACGTTGGACACAAACCCCATGCCCTACCCATGAAACCACATGGCATCTTGGCTTGCATGCCCCACCCATGCACCCCCCTTTCACACCACCCAGGGACACCTACCTGCGACTGGAGGCTGCTGCGGAGCGCAACCCGCACCCCTCCCGCGCCTCCCCCGCACACTCGCTCTTCCTGCTTACGCCCGCCGATGTGTCGGCGGCAGCGCTGGGGGCGGGCAGGCTCCGGGGTCCGGCGGGGGCGGTGGTGCCGCTGCTGGCGGAGGGATTTAATGAGGACGCGGTCAGGGGCTTCGGGCAGGTGGGGGGGCGCGGATGGGGGTGGTGGCTGCGGTGGGGGATGGGTGGTAACAAGGGGTTGAATCAAATGTACGCTGTCCGATTCAGAAACCCCCGGTCTCCCCTACCCGCTAGTCTGCCTCACACACCCATTCCCCATGTTTTCCCATCCCTCCACACCACAACCAAACCCTGCTTCCGTACACACAGGCCTCTCGCGAGTACGACGGCGGGCGTTACGCTGCCGTACTGGTTCACGCGGGCAGCGGCCCCGTGGCTGCCGCCAGCTTCAACCTGTTGGGTCCGCGCGAGGCGCAGCTGTGTCTGCTGGCCACTGCCGTACAGCACCGCATGCAAGGCAATGCGGGGGCTCTGGTGGCAGACCTGGAGGTGAGGGTGGGAAGGGGAGGGCGGTAAAATATTAGTAGTAAGAGTGAGAGGTGAAGCAGCGGGAGGAATACCCAAGGGTGACGGGTAGGGTGTAGGATAGATGAAAAAGAAATAGGAATCATGGCTTGGGGGTAGTAGAGTAGGGAAAGGGAGGAGAATAAGTCGCTTAGCGAAAAACTAGTCGTTCCTCACCCCACCCTTTTCCGTCCCTTCCCCTGCTTCATCCCTTTTCTCCTTCCCTCCCCCTCCCTCCTTCCCTCCCCCAACAGTCCCTGCTGTCCTCAGCCGGTGTGCGGCGGCTGCTGGTGCAGGCCCGCCCCGCCGCGCTGGCCCCGCTGTGGCTGGGCCGCTGGGGCTACCGGCTGCTGGGGGCGGAGGAGGCGGCGGAGGCGCACCGGGGGGGGCTGCAGCTGGCGTACTACGACTGTGCGGTGGCGGAGAAACTGCTGGGAGGGGCGGGGGCGGGAGGAGATGAGACGGGAAGCGGCTGGAAGGGGCAGGGGAAGGAATGAGACGTGAGGCTGCTGGGAGGGGTGGGGGGAAAATTTATAAATAAGTGCAACAACGCAATCCCAATCCTGAATCCCGACTCATGCAGTGAGCGGTGGGGGGCGGGGAAGTGTAGTAGGAAAGTGAGGAGCTGTATGAAAAGGCTTCACCAGGAGGGAGGGACGGCCACCGAGCCGCGGTGAAACAAGGGGAGGTAAGGGAGGGCAGAAGTTGACCCGGGAAGGGAGGGAAGTAGATAGGCGGTAGGGGGAGCTCGGGGATGGGAAGGAAAGGGCGAAATCAGGAGTGAGGAGGAAGGCGGGAAGGCAAAGGAAGGAGAGGAGGAGCAAGGGAAACGGTATGGTTTCGGATAACAAGCGTGGCTGCCATGCATTGTTGGTGGGATCTGGGAAGGAGTTGGAGCGGTTTGTAGGAAGGGCCGGAGATGGTGCAGCTGCTCCAGACGGAGGAGCGGTCTGGTTGCTAGCTGGGCAGATGGAGATGATGTGGAGGCATCCTTGGGGCTGTGGTGGCCCGTGTGTGGCGACGAGACATATGGGGGAGGCCAGCAGCAGCAGCTGCAGCGCAGCTGGACGTGTGGGATAGGTTGTGAGCATGTAGTCCGGGGGAGGAACTTGGTAAAACCCAGGGCGACGTCCCTCCCGGCCAGCTTTCATCACCCTGCTTTCCAACTGCATTCAAGTGCAGCTCCCTGACACACCCACGCTAGTACCCGCAGTAAGAGCCCGGCAGCGGCCTGCATGCATGAACCATGGTTGCTGCCTCCCTGTTCCCACGCCTCCGGTGGTAACAGTGTACCCTCCTTAAGGGGATCACAGCAAGGTGGGACCGATCAAACCCTGACCAAACCCTAAACCTAAGGAAACACGCAACCTACACCCCGTCTAACCCCGCCCTCTACGTCGCTTACAATGCCCCGGAGGCATTCAGTGAACAAGGTCTGTGTGAACAACACTGCAATACGGCTTACGACGGTACGGCATAGGAATTTCCGACACGCATACTAACCGCAAAGCGTTTTGCGAAACACAATACCAACACCCATGTACCGCACTTCTACAGGCCTACGTCTCACATGGCCCAACACTCCTCATCCGTGCGGCGCCGACTGCACCTAAGTCCGCATGTTTCACTCACATGCCACTCTCCACAAGTGCTCCACACTAACGGTAATACCTGGTGTTTGTGTGACACGTCGTTGGTAATGACCATAACCCCAGCCGGCCGCCATTACCCCCCCACCAGCGCCACACCCACCCCCACCGCCACTCACTGCGCCGGCCATCCCCCATCACAGCCCCCACCACGTTCAGTAGCCGTTCAGTAGAAGATGGTGAGTGTGCGGTGGTGTGGCGGGTGCTGCTTGCGTTGCCGCTCGCCCTCCTCCCACAGCCACCAGTCCAGCTGGATGGCGTGTGGGACCTGAGCGCCGGGGGTGTCTGCATGTTGGGGGGGGGGGGGGGCGGGAGCGGGGAGCGACATGGGGGCGGGATGAGGGCAGGGAGGTAGGTGGGTGGAAGAGGAAACAGCTAACTGACCGTGTGTGTTTTAAAGAAACTGGCCGCGAGTCGGAACGTGTGTGTAGGAGGGTGGAGATGTCTGGCAGCCACAGGAGAGGAAACATCCATTGCTGCTGCTGGCTTTCAGAACCTGGCACCCTGCCGCCTCATTCCCCCATTGTTCTGCCCTAACCTATGGTTTCCTAGTGTTTATATATGGTCCCTTCTTGACCCCCGCCCCCCTCCTGTCTCACCCCTGAACTTGTCCGCCAGCCCCTCCCGCAGGCGCTCCACCGCCACCACCGTGCACGCGCGGATCTCCACCTCCTCCTCGCCCCCCGCCGGAAGCTGCTCGCGGCGCAGGATCTGAGCGGGCAGGACGTGGGCCGGAGAGGGGGTAGGTGGGAACAGGGGAGGGGCCGACAGGGGAGGGGGAGACAGGGGAGTGGGAGACAGACAGCCGCAACATAATAGATGATGACATGCAAAGGGAGGGGCCAGTCGCGGTGGCCCCAGAGACAGTCCGCGCCTCCTGTCCCAACCAGTACCCCTACTTGCCCCTCCTGCGACCCCTACCCCCTCCCTCCTCTCCCTTCCCTCCAACACGCATACCGGTACCCTCCCCTCCCCTCCCCTACCCCCCACCCCACCCCACCTTGTCCTCCAGCTGCCGGCTGTACGACAGTATCCCCAGTGTCCGCAGCACCACGGGCACCCGGTAGTCCGCGAACATGGTAAGCTGGTCGATGTCCTGGGGGGGGAGGGGGGAGGGAGGGAAGGGAGGGAGGGAAGGGAGGGAGGGAAGGGAGGGAGGGAGGGAGAGGAGGGAATGGGGATTCGAGCGGGGACCCAGCGAGATTCGAGCGGAAGCAGCATCCCAACCGCCTGCTGTCATTCCCAGCCATCCAGCGCATCCCGGCGCGCCGCTCCCTTCCCCCTGGCCCCCTCCCCCTTTCTCTCCCCCCCTGCCCCCGTCTCCCTCCCCCTCCCCCTCCCCCTCCCTCTCACCCTGAACGCCCCCAGTCCGCGTCCCTCGAATGCGCCGTACACGTCCCCCACGAAGATCTGCGCGCGCTTGTACAGAAACACCTGGCGGCCTGGGGGCGGGGGGGAGGGGGGGAGTGGAGGGGGGAGGGGGGGAGGTAAAGGGGGGGAGGGGAGGTACAGGGGGCGTGCGGACATGCGCAGGGGGTTGCATGCAGGACCCCTCTTGACCCACTTCCGCTCGGTTGTCCGTAGCCCTCGTCAGTTCCTTGTCCAACCAGCTCTTCACTACTTCTTACGCCAGTCCTCTTCTCCTCCCTCCTCCAGCTCTTCTGCTTCCCCTATCTCCCTCCTGCTGCCCTGCTTCTTCTCCTCCCTCTTTCCTCCCTCTTTCCTCCCTCTTCGTCCCCCCTCCCCCCCTCCCCCCCTGCTCACCCCTGTACACCGCATGGTCCCTGAACCCCGGCAGCAGCTGCGTCACCAGCCCAACCAGGGCCGCCGCGGAGCCCCCCGCGGCCGCCACCAGCCCCGCAGCGTGGCCGCCGAAGTGGGTCAGCAGCGCAGAGCCCACCTGGGAGGGGAGGGGGGTTGGGGGGGGGTGAGGGGGAGGGAGCAGGGCGGGGAGTGAAGCACGCCATCTAGCTAGCCCGCGACCCAGATCTGAGCCACAGCCGTTGCTTGTCCTCCAGCTATCCCTCCCACTTGCCCCACTTCTTCTCGTAAGTACCCACCTCCCGCAGCAGCCGCACCCGCTCCTGCTCCCACCTCCTTCCCATTCCAGCCCCTCCCTTCCTCCCTCCCGCCTCCCTTCCCATCCCCGCTCCTCCCTCCCACCTCCCGCAGCAGCCGCGCCCGCTCCTCCTGCAGCGGCACCTCCCGCCCCCACCCCAGCAGCGCCGCCACGTCAGCACCGGTGGCGCGCAGCAGCCGCTCGGCGGACAGCGCGGTGGGGTCCGACTCGAGGGCACGCTGGCGAGGAGGGGGAGGAGGAGGAGGGGGAGGAGGATAGGGAAGGAGAGGGGAGGAGGGGGGAAGTGTATAGGGTTGGTAGACGTGAGAACCGGCTGGTAGAAGTGTAAGTTTTAGAGGGAGAGGGGTTAGGAGCGTGAAAATGGGGAAGGAGGGCAGGCAGGCAGGCAGGCAGGCATGGGAGAGGTAGCAGCAGCCGCGTAGGAAACATGGTCTGGCGACGGTGCGCGCATGTGGGTCGTGACTCACGAGCATGTGTGGGGAGATTAAGGACAGCGAACACAGCCCCTCCACCCATGTGAGCAGCCCCGGTAGTAGTAGCTCTCCTCCCCTGGGGTCGCCTATCAATACCGCCTCCCCTCCACCTACCTTGATCCCAACCGAGAGCTGCTCGTACTCTAGCTCCTCATCTGTACGGCAAGGGACGTTCTTGTAAGGCATGCTGCAAACCAACACAAGGCTTTGGAAGGTGTTATGACGTGGGTCGCGCAATGGAAGCCCATAGTGCATGTAACTGCAAAGCATGGAGCATCTAGGGCATCTACAACCGTCGTTGCAAGAAACAAAAGGTTCTCTTTGGCAACTGTGGGCGTTGCGGGCGTGTAACAGTCTCTAAGTGCAGCCCTTCTTACCGGGCCAGAAGCAGAAGTTCAACGCGTCCACCACAAGCAGGTACTGCACCGTGAGCGGTCCGCCATCAACGAAATGGATGTCTGCGGCAGACAAACATGGGGTCGAACATGCGAACGGATGTAAAGGGATGCTGAGAAACTCTACTCATGCGCCTGGCATCATGGCTTACCCTTGTTGAAGGCTTTCGGGGATGTAAGCTCCTTGAGCTTGTCTAGGGAGAACTCATCCACAGCCTTGTTGATGGCTGCAGGAGGGCGCAAAAGGCATCTTACATCGAACGTAGCGCAAAGTGTTCATTTGTTAGGAGTACTGGTGCCTGCAGCATCAGGCGGCGTTCGACAGCTGCGCACCGACCTTTTTGGTCGATCTGCACATGTACAGCCTGTGACGCCACAAACTCGGTAGAAGTCCTTACAACATTGTTAGAAGACTCTAGGCTGCTAGCCAGGGGCCTGCGAATTCATAGATTGTTGTTTGGGTACTGCGTCGGTTCCGTTTTCAAGCCGCCCCACCTATCTATGGTCTCCAACCAACAATATGCATGCGTCGATTCACGTGTAAAATACAAGTTTGCGGTGAAGCGGAAAGACAACAATTATCACCGCACCAGGTCGAAGGCGCCGACTGCGCCACGTCGCCAGGTGTTTCAGAATCCTTCATAGTTATAAACTACTAATTGAATTACTAAAAAACAATAACCCTAATGCTGTAAATCGCAGCAGTGCGCCGAACTGACTAAATCCGCTTGTTGCCGTAGCTCTGAGCTACCAGAGCCAAGCCTCCGGATTTTCGTATCGTGCACAGCTGCACACCCACCTTTTTTTACGTGCAAGAAAGCTTATGCACGTGTATTCTGGTCATAGGTGTGTCGCAAGAGAAGCCAGCTTTGGCCAGGGGTTCCGGGCTTCCGGCTTCCGGGGCATCTGGGATGGCTCGATGTACATCCCGAGGCAGGCGGAACTCCCCCAAAAGTGACGGTACCCATCAACGCTCCGTCTATCATATATACACCCTGATTAAAAGTTTAGCGGATCTAAACCAAGACCTCAAAGAAAGCGTGGACTCCAAGCCATTGCGCTTCATCGCTGCCTTCTTCAGCAAACCGGCGCATCCATCAAGCCCCTTTCCTTTTGCCGTCGAGGCTAGGCTTACTCACGTTGCATGCTGGCTCCTCTGCCCTGCACAAATAGGGAGCCATTAAAACCGCCATCATGCAGGAGCTGAGGCTCGACTATGGGACGTGTCCAATGGCCCGTTAGATTTGAAGCGTGACCTACAAATCGATTTGTTCTTGGTAAACTCTTAAATCGCAGCGGTAGGGTGTGGCTTGGCGGCTGTGGTAACCTCCAAGCCCTTGCAACAGCCTCGTAACGGCAGCGAACGGCCACACTCCAAAACGCACGGGACACGCATAGCTGAAGCAGAAATGCCAGCCCTTTTGGAAAACAATGGCCTCAGTAACGCCCATTCTAACGGCAGCAAATGCAGGGAATTATCATCCGAAGGCCACTCTTCAGCTCCTTTCTGCGTTCACGCGACCACGGCAACCCCAGCCATAGCATCCCGCGCTGCACCTGCTTCTCCCAACACGGTGTTGCAGCCGACCATGGGCGCAACCAACAGCTCGGCAGCCGGCCCTGCAGCATCTGACCACTTTGCAGCGGAGTCGGGTGAAGCTCAAGCAAACGCCCAATTACCACCAACACCGACAGGGCCGGAGCTGGTAGGGGCAGCAAGAGCGCAGGCGGACGAGGCGGAGGCAACGGCTCTAGCCCAGCGTCGAGCAGCCCTGGCGGCGCGGGTGGCGGAGCTGGAGGCGGAGTGGGGGCTGGGGGCGGCAACAGGGGTTGGAGGAAGAGGCGAAGGCGGCGGTGGACGCCACCGGGGCCGAATGACGTTGGTTGAGATGAACCAGGTGGGCTTGTGGGACCTGGAACACAGGATGGGCACGAAAGTGAATGTTACTGGCCCTACTGCTCTCTAAGAGACGGCATCATCCCACTCCTCAACCCTCACCGACACCAACCTCCGTCCATGCCGTCCTAAACGCCCAAACAAAAACCCAGATCGCCGTGTCGTACAGTCGCGCCGGCGACTCGCTCTCCGCCGCCGCCGCACTAACGGCGCTGCTGCGCGCCACCGGCGGCGGTCGGCGACTGACGCATCGCGACCTGCCGCTCGCTCGCACCAACCTGGCGGCGGCGCTGCTGGCGGCTGGGCTGCCGGAGGAGGCGGCGGCGGCGGCGGAGGCAGTGACGACGGAACTAGAGGGACGGCCGCTGGGGTGAGGCTTGCGTGGGGAAGCACCTGCAATATGAGGCCTGTGTGGCATGAGGGCGCGAGGGCGCCCCTTCCCTCCTTTCTTTCCGCAAACCCGTACCATGAAAACGCCCGACCCGTCGGTTCCCTCCCCTTCTTTGTTCCCCTCCTTACCCTGTTCCCCGCCTCCTCTATAACTCCTCCTTCTCCTCCTCCTCCTCCTCCTCCTTCTCCCAGCCTGCTGGACGCCTCCTCCCGTCGCTCCCTGGTTCGCTCGCTGCTGCTGCGCGGCCGAGCGCTCACCTCGCTGCGCCGCCCCGCCGCCGCCGTTGCGGTTCTGGAGCGGGGCCTGGCGCTGGAGCCCGGGTGCAGGGGGCTGCGGGAGGCGCTGGATGAGGCGAGCAAGCAGCTGCGGGGCAACAGGGGGGCAGGTGATGGGGGGGGGCAGCGGAGGGGCAGGTGATGAAGGGGGGTCAAAGACCATACCGAACCAGCAGCGGAGGGGGCAGCGGAGGGGCAGGTGATGGGGGAAGTGGCACGTGGGAAGAGGGGAGGAAGCATGGCGCATATGGACGATGCTAACCTCTGACTAGGCTTCCCTGTAATCCTGCACCGCTGCAGCGCTCTCTCCGCTGAGATGTACACGCGGTAGGAGGGCTGTCTGTCGTTCGCTGCAGGGGGTGTATGGTGATGCACTGATGCTACTCTTCACATGCAAGATGCAAGCCTGCCTCATGGATGCCTGCCCGCCTTCCCTTCCATCTTTACTCCCTCCTCAGGCAGCGGCACGGAGAGGCTGGCCCTACCCGCCCCCGAGCCCCGCTCCCTCGCCCTCGCCAGCCCCGCCACAGCCACCTCCGCGCCACCCCTCTGCGCACCCGCTGACCCCCTCCTCCTCCTCACAACCCCCTACAGCAACCCTTCCACCTCCACCTCCTCTTCACTTACCACCACCACCACCACTACCGCCTCTTCCTCATCGGCTGCTGCTTCTGCTGCCTCTGCTTCTGCCTCTTCTTCCGCTTCCGCCTCCTCTTCCTCCTCTCCGCTAGCGCTGCAGCTGAGCTGGCAAGAGCTGCTTCCCTCCAGACTGCTCACCCCACGTGCCGCCGAGATAGACCATCGCACCCGTGACACCTACAATTTCGTAACCATCGAGGTGCGCGTACCTACGCACTGTACTGCCCGATATGCCCTGCTGCATGACTGCCATGCTGCTGTCACCACGTAATTTACGTACGTATGGCGTGCTTACCGATGAGGTGAAGGTAGGACAGATGCTGCTGCTGCTGCTAACCAGGCCCTCAGACCCTTTGCACCACCGCATACATTTCCGCCCGGCCTGAACCCAGCGTTACCCCCCCCCTTCCTGTGCGGCCCCTAGACCGACCTGCGCATGCCCCGCCGCTGCCTGCAAGTCCTGCACGACGAAGCCCGCATGGCTGCCGTACAAGCAGCAGTACGACAGGCTGTGGCGGCTGTAGCACAAGGCGGCAGCAGCAGCAGCGGCGGCGGTGCCACCCCTGGTGTTAGCGTACCCAACCATGACAACGAAGAGGACAAACAAGGGGTGGAAGAGGAGGAGGACGTGCGGGACGTGCGGGTGTTGCTGCTGGGGTCGTGTGCGGGGTTGCTGGGGCTTGTGGCGCTGCGGGCGGGGGCGACACATGTGACATGCGTGGAAAGGTGCGTGCGTAGGGGCATGTCTGCGCGGGAGGTGGGAAAAGAGGACATGCTGTGAACAGAAAGCGGGGGGTGGGCGTTGGGATAATGCAATTGATTACCGTGCTGCTGCTGTAACTAGCTTGCTGCTGCCTGCTGCTGCCATGCCGTTGCTGCTGCTGCTGCTCTGCCGAGTGTGCAGGTGGCTGTACCTGGCCTCCGCCGCCGGCGAGGTGCTGGCGGGGGCCGGGGTGGCTCCGGAGCGCTACCGAGTGGTGCACCGGCGGACGGGGGAGCTGAGGCTGCGGGAGGACGTGGCGGTGTGCTGCAACCTGGTGGTAAGGAGGGGGAGGGCAGGGAGGTGAGGCGGGGAGGTGGGGAGGGGAGGCAGAGCGGGGGGGTGGGGAGGTGGGGAGACGGGAAGGGGAGGGAGGTAGAGGTGCTGCAACCTCCCTTCCTACCTTCGGCTTCCTTGCTCCTCCTGCCCATCCTTCGTCGTCCCATGCACGTGCTCCTCGCCCCTCTTGTCATACAGCTCGCCGGTACCTTCCTTTTTACCCCCCTCCCTCCCTCCCTCCCCCCCTCCTACTCCTTCCCTCCTCCCGCCCAGGTAGCCACGGAGATGTTGGACGACTCGCTGCTGAGCAGTGGGCTGCTGCCCGCGCTGCGACACCTGGCGTCAGCCGGCCTGGTCACACGGGACGCGACAGTGCTGCCGCAAGCCGCCACCGTCTGGCTGCAGGCGGCGCAGATCAGCAGCAGTGCCGCCGCCACCCCGCCACTGCAGCTGCAGCAGCATATTACTAATGGTGACGTAGACGTAGATGGCATGCGAGCTGTTCATGGTGGTGACGTGGATGGCGGTGGTAAAGGAACGAATGTGGATCCGCATGTGGATCTGGATACGGGTCTGGATCTGAGTGCGCTGGATCGGCTGCGCTGGTGGCCCAGCGCCTGTCTGGGCAGCCCCCTGGCGGAAGGAGGTTACCTGCCGCTGTCCAAACCCAAGGTGCGTGTGCGTGTGCCTGATGAGATAGCCGTACGTACGACGATAATAAGGGGCTTCCGACGATAATAAGGGGCTTCCGACGATAATAAGGTGCTTCTTCGGGTGTTGTGTAGGGAAAGATGTGCTTGTAAGAGATAGCGTCGTCGCATGAACGACAATCGGACTGGTAGTTTCAGAGCGTCGTTTGCGTCATGGTAAAAGATAGCATGCATCGTCACATGCCTGTGTCGTAATGGATGCCCAGCAGCTATTAACAAAAGCACTCCTCGGTGGCATTTGCTACCGAAATGCAGGAGGCCTGGCACTTTGACTTCACTACGGCGGCGTACGATTCAACCGAAGCTAAAACCCTGGATCTGGAGTTAACCGCCAACGGCTCCTTCAACGCTGTCGTATTCTGGTACGATCTGCAGCTGCACGGCGATATCAGGCTGATAACACACCGCCATTCCCCGCCGCCACCACCGCCGTTGCCATCAGCAGCGCCCCGCGGAAAGACATCAACAGCAGCAGCAACGGGAGCAGCAGCAGGAAGCGGCTATGAAAGCGGCAACAGCAGCAGCACTATGCGGGAAGTCCCGCCACCTCGTCCCAAAAGCCTGCAGGTAGGTTGGGCCGGGTCCATTGTAGCAACCCATGATGAAGCCATCTCGTCACTCAGCTGAAGTCAGTTTCCTCTGCCACCGCACCACCATCTGCCGCCTACCCTGCAGGCCGCCGTGCACTGGCTGCCAGGCCCCATCCCGGTGCGTGCCGGCGAGGTGCTGCCTCTGACCGCCTGCCACAACACCGTGGCCCTGAGGTTCGAGGTGAGGGGCAGCTAGGGGTAGCTAAGGGGTAGCTTCTGGATAGGTAGAGCGCTCCTGATGGGGGAGTGGAAGTGATAAGTGGGCCCCGTGCGGCCGTGCATGTGGCCACGCTCCCATGCAGCGAAGGAAGGTGTACGGTAGTTACTGCCGTGTTAGTTAGTACCGTACGGTATGTACTACAGCAGCCGTACTCGGCTGCTAGCCTGCTACCCATCCAAGGAACAGACCCTGCACAGCACCACAGAACCCGCAAACGGCCCTCCTCCCCTCCCAGCTCCAAGGTTCCCTGTCACACGGGTAGTTTCTTCCTTCTCCCCAAAAACCTTACAAGCCCCCTCCCCAGGTGCTCAACGCGGAGTACCGCTGGCTGGTGGCTCGCGACCCCAGCCTGCCGCCGCACCTGTGGTCCCTCCTGGCGGACACGCAGCGGCGGACAGCCTACCAGCGAGCCATCAGGCGGGCGGTGGCGCGGCTGAGGGCGGCGGGTGGGTATACCGGTAACTGGATTGTATAGAACTTGTAATTACCTACCATGCACGTAATGCAAGTCCATGCATTCTGTGCGTTACATAATGTGCGGGCTGTAATAAGAGGAGTGCTTGGGGGCTGCTGCCGGGTCAGTGGGTGATTGGTAGCTGTACTAGGGTGTGCACGGAAGGCGCTGCGGGTCAAGAGCCCCCCCACCCCCTGTGTTGATTGTCAGCAACTTGTATCATTATCACACACACATTGGAATTTCTTTTTTCCCCCTGTGTGGGAACACCCGCAGGCCACCCCGCAGTGGTGGCACTGGATGTGGGGGCGGGCGGCGGCGCGTTGGCGCTGGCGGCGGCGGCGGCGGGCGCCGACAGCGTGACGGCGGCTGAGGTGCATCCGGGACTGGCGGCGGCGGCTCGGCGGTGCGCGGCGGACAACGGGCTGGGACACAAGGTGTGTGGGGTGGGGGTGGGGTGGATACCTCGCACCGGAGAAGTCTGGATGATACTGAAGGATCCAGTTTTGGAATTGCAAACTGTGTCATTTTGAAGGATGCTGACATTGCTGAGCAGCTGTCTGATGAGGTACCTGGGGGTGGCTACCCTGCCCGCAGGTGGTGGTCCTGCAGGGGGACGTGGGGGAGCTGGTGAGGGGCAGGGATGTGGCGCACGGGGGGGTCAACCTCGTCATATGCGACATGTTTGATGCAGGTGAGGCGGGAAGACAGGGATGGATAAGAAGTTATGTTGCCGTACATGTTGCATACAAACGGTACACACACATATGTTTGTTGTGACCCGGAAAACACAACAAGTTTATTTTGTTAGGGCCGGCAGGGGCTGGGGCATTGGGCATCGGGGGGAGGAAAACAGTAACCCCTGTACGGCCGACGTTCCGGTGTCCTGTACGGCACCCTTGTACGGCACCCTACCGTACCCACAGGCCTGCTAGGCCACCGCATGCTTGCCACCCTGGAGTGCGTCAAGAGGCGGCTGGCAGCGCTGACGTCATCATCACCGTCTCAACCGCCACCACCACCACCACCTTCAAACGAAGCGGGCGTGGACCACCCCGCGCCACCTCTCGCGCCCTCCGCTGCACCCTCGGAAACATCAGCAGCAGGGCCGGCGGCTGGCAGCAGCAGTAGCAGCAGCAGTAGCGGCTGGGGTGTGGAGGTGGTGCCTGCAGCTGCGCGAGTGTGGGTGGTGGGGCTGGAGCTGCTCACTCGGCGGGTGTGCGGGGAGGACATGTCGGCCATGAACAAGTACAGGTGAGGCGTGGGAGGTCGTGCAGGCGGGAATCGGGTGCGATGAGGGGGTGTTAGGGTTAGGGTTTGAAGGGTTGGCGTTAGGCGGTTTGACATGACACCTACCATGAGGGAAGATGGGAGAGGGGCGTGCTGTGTGGAATGGAATGAGAGTGGGGCGAGGAGGAGCATGAAGGGAAGTAGAGTGGGGGAGAAGGCCGTCCCCAACTTGCAGGATTGAGGGGAAATTTAGGGCAAATTACGTCCTGCTGAGAGACCTGAAAAGCGTTTTCCATTTTTCGTGTACGGCACGACCCCAGGTGGGACGACAAGTACGAGGCTGTACGGCTGCAGGATCTGCCGTACCGCCAGCTTACCCTGCCCGTACCCGTCTTCGACTTTGACTTCACTCAACCCCCGTCGTCGGCTGCATTTGGCGGCCTTGCTGCTGCTGTTGGCGGTGCCGGCGGCAGTTCTGGCAGCAGCAGCAGCAGCAGCTCCTACCCAACGGTCGCAAACGTGGAAGCGCAAGTGATAGCAAAAGGTACGTGGCTCCGTTGTTAAAATCCCAACCTCAGTGCATCAGCCGCCGTGCAGCCCCCTTAACCGTGCACTGTCCTGTTTACTGGTTCTTTACTGGTTTCATACCGTGCTCTCTGCTCTGCCTTGTCGCCCCTGTCCCTGTGTTACCTTCTTTCGGCCCGCTCCACGCCTCGTACGGTACGGCACTTTCCTGATCCGTGCGTACGGCACCCCTCCCTCTCTTCCTCACTTCATCCCTCCCTCCCTTGCAGGCATCCTCAACGCAGTGGCATTCTGGTACGACCTGCAGCCCGACAAACACCACCCCGACCGCATCTCCAACGCACCCCCCGGTCTGCAGCCGACGCTGCTGCCGCTGCAGTCAGATGCGGGCTCTAAGATGGCGTCATCAGCCGCGGATGGCCACATTGGGGATGCGGATGCGGATGAAGATGCGGATGCGGAAGGAACTGGTGCGGGCGCGGGTGCTGAGGTTGTAGCAGCCGTCGTACATGAGACCGCCGTACATGCCGCCGCTGGCGGCAGCAGCAGCTGCTACAGCCGCCGCTGTCAGGCCCTGCAGTACCTGGACTGTGCACTGCCGGTGGTTCCGACGGCAGCTGCAGCAGGCGGATCAGGAGGAGTCAGCACCCGCAACGGAAACCTGGGTGGCGGCGGTGCTGGAGGCGGTGGTGGTAACGGAGCGGCTAACGGAGTTGTGGTACTGCAGGCTCGGCGGTTGGCTAACGGTATTCGGTTCGCGCTTCGGCCTGGTGTAGGCGTGCCCGTACCCCGACCGCCGTACAAGGTATGTTCGTACGTTGTAGAACAACATGGAGAATGCATGCATCTGTGAGGGGGTTGCGTTCGTTCCTGCGAACATTGAACACAATGGACTCAATCTATTTCCTAGCCACGAACCTAAGCCGGATGTCTTGCGTCCGTAACACGACCGTAACAACCTTGGGGGCTTCACAGAGAGGGCTAACAAGCAATACAATGACCATAACGTTTCCCTTGTGCCTCCCTCACTAGGTCGAGTGGGGCGGAGGCGTTAGCATTGAGAACCCGCACGTGCAGCGCGCCCGCTACTGTCAGCTGCTGGTTTCGGAGTGGCTGCAACGCCTGCCACGACTGCATCGCGCTCCACCCGGCAACGGACCCACCTCCATCACCCAGGACTTGGCGCCCCTCTGGCTGCACTGCGGTAGTCTGCAACTGGACCCTGTGTCGTTGTCAGAGGTGACGCATCGGTTGACGTTGATGGAGCGATTGTATGGCAGGGCAACCGCCGGCGGCGCGGGGCTGGGAGCTGATGGGCAGGAGGTGGTTGCGTCGGCGGTTGGTAGTACGGCAGCAGCAGAGGCGGAGGTAGAGGAGGGACGCGTGGGGCTGGTGAGGCCGGAGGATGTGAGCTTGGGGCTGCCTGCTGTGTGGTTCTGAGGGGTGGAAGCAAGGGAAGCAAAGGGGGAAAGCGAGCTGGGCGAGAGGATAACGCTTGAGATGGCTTAGGATGGCGAAGCAAGGAAGGAGAGGCGGAAAGGAGAGCAGCTGGAGAGTGAGAAGCTGAAAAGGGGCTGGCAGCTTAAGGGCGTTGGGAGTGGATGTACAGGGCCGGTGACTTTGTCGTGTGCGGCCAGGTGTGGCTGGTCCATTTGTCGTCCAGTGGGTGTGTTAAAACAACTGGCCACGAGTCAGTGGATGTGTCTGGTTTACGATGTGTGCCCTGGGGCATGTAAACCATGGCAGTTTGCCATGTCAGCAGTGTGATGAGGCGTTTGGGGGGATCTGGGTCAACTTGAAAGTTGCTGGGGCATGGGGCGGGGAAGCCCAATTGGTACTGCATGGCTTCTAACGACGCTACATGGCACAGGAAGTTTGTTGCAAGAGGTTTCCAGGGCTTACTCATCCCGCTGGCCTTTGGCCTCCCGTCCTACCTTTGTAACATATCACATTGGAAAACAGAAAGTCGTTAACAGGAGATGTAACACTTTGCTACCAGCTACAACGGAAGCACCAGAAGGGGTCGTGTGGGGTTTGCTTGGGAGTTCACATTGAGGGGGAGCTTGGGTGGAGAGCTCAGGTGTAGGTTGGTGGGAGCTGTGAGGGCTCGCGCGGAACTCTTTTGTTATTAAACTTGGGATCTCGCCTGGTAGTCATGTCATGCAATACAATGGCTGTACTCGGACGTCACAAGGAGATGCGCGGCAAAGCCCTATATGGCATGCGTAGGCCGGGTAACGAGTGAAAGTGCGTCCCGAAAACCCAACACTGTAAGGGCCCTTCCCGCATTGGGGCACGTGCGACCGCATACACGTCCGAGCGCACTGCGCGCGGCCGATAACGAGGTATAAGACGTGCTCACTCCGCGTGCCCCACGCTACACGGATGGCTCATGTCACCTTCGTCTGAGTCATGTCCGCGGCGCAGGTTATGCGCAGGTTATCGTTTACGCCCACAAGGAGCGGCATAAAAGCTACAGACAACTGGGTGTTGAAAAGCGGGGAGAATTTGCTAAAGGTGAGAAGTACAATGCTGCGCTTCCGTGCTTGCGCTTTGAATTTGTACGACAATCCCCGGTTAAAAAGAGCAGGCAACCACAGTTTGGTGATCTCCTTCCTATGGCACCTGCTGTAACGCGCTTGGGATTAACGCTTGTCTCCTTAGCTTCAAGGTTTGCTTCTTCAGCCGCCTCCTTCACAGCCTCTCGTCTTACAATCAATCAATTTCAGACCACCGTCAGCGCCAGTGACAAGGTTACGAAGAGGATCTTGCCGTTTTATAGACAGTTTGCTACTAGCTCTGTAAAAATGGTTGAGCACATGAGCACAAAGGTTTGCATTATTGGCTCTGGGCCTGCCGCGCACACGGCCGCGGTATACACGGCGCGGGCAGAGCTTGGCCCAATTCTGTTTGAGGGATTCATGGCAAATGGTATCGCGGCTGGTGGGCAGCTGACGACGACAACGGACGTGGAGAACTTCCCAGGTATCGAATGATGTTGCCTTTAGCCGCTTCCGCGGCATCAGTTAGCTAACGTTTCTTGCATTCATAGGCTTCCCTGAGGGCATCCTTGGTGTGGAGCTGACGAGCCGCTTCCGCGACCAGTCTGAGCGCTTTGGGACGAAGATCTTCAGCGAAACGGTTGAGAGCGTGGACCTTTCCTCTCGCCCTTTCACCGTGCGTACGAGTGAGAAGGAGGTGAAGGCTGATACGCTAATTATCGCTACTGGTGCCGTGGCGCGGAGACTAGAATTCCCCGGCAGTGGCGAGGAGAATGGCTTCTGGAACAAGGGCATTTCGGCATGCGCTGTGTGCGATGGTGCTGCACCGATCTTCCGTAACAAGCCTATTGCTGTTATCGGTGGTGGCGATTCCGCCATGGAGGAGGCGAACTTCTTGACGTAAGCACAGACAGGATGGGGGCATCACGCCAGGATAAGGACACTCAATAAGCAAGGGCTCATGGCGGGGTTCCACCGGCTGCTAGCGGCCCCCGCCTATGCTTGGATATGCGGCTTGTTCTTCGGGTTGGGGCTGGCGGAGGGTTTCTGTCCTTGCGGTTTGTGAACTAACACCCCCCCGGGTGCTGCTTGTGTCCCCTCCCCCTTTCAACTAATCTTTCTGCTGCTACTGCAAAGCACCGTAACCAAACTGTCCGTATGCTTGCCTTGCCCTTTTACTTGCGCAGGAAGTACGGGTCCAAGGTGTACATCATCCACAGGTGTGCCTCGGGGGCCGCGGCTGCACTCGTCTAGTCACTCAGCTCAGCTTGCCAGTCCCTGCATGTCTAGCCACCCGTGTGGGCTTTCCCTCGCATCCATTGCCCCAAGCCTTACAATCACGCCTCGCACCCGCAACCGAACCCCACCGGCCACCTCCTAGCCTATTATACTACCAAACTGCCCAGCAAGCCTCCTAAACCCCCATCCACAGCGTCCTGACGCTAACCAACATAACCCCGACCCAAATCAAAACCGACCCAAATCCCATTCCCTGACCCTCCACCAGGCGCGATTCCTTCCGCGCCAGCAAGATCATGCAGAAGCGCGCTCTGGACAACCCCAAGATCGAGGTCGTGTGGAACAGCGTAGTGGAGGAGGCGTACGGCAACGAGCGCGGCATCCTGGGAGGTGTCAAGGTGAGGTGGTACGGCAGTTGGAGGGATTAGGAAGAAGGATTAGGAGGGATACTAATTGTTAGCACGTTCACTAGGTCCGTTTTCCAGCTCTGTTACTCTGATGCATACGAGTCGGCCCTTTACAATTCCAGTGCTATGTGTATTTCGCATCTGCACCAGTCGTCTCTACAGCAGCCGCCGGTAACATAACGCACAACTCGATCCTCTGCGCAGCCGCTACACAACCGCCTTCCCCTTCCATATCTTATCCTTGTCATCCAATCCTCTCCCTGCCCTCTCCCCCTCTCCCTTGTCCTCCCCCTCCTATCCCTTCTTGCCTTTCTGCAGGTTAAGAACGTGGTGACGGGCGAGGTGACGGACCTGCCCGTGTCCGGTCTCTTCTTCGCCATCGGTCACCAGCCCGCCACCGCCTTCCTCAACGGCCAGATCACCCTCGACGAGGACGGCTACATTGTGACGGCGCCCGACGGCACCGCCACCAACGTGCCCGGCGTGTTTGCGGCGGGAGACGTGCAGGACAAGAAGTGGCGCCAGGCCATCACGGCTGCGGGAACCGGGTGCATGGCGGCTCTTGAGGTGCGGCCTGGGGTAAAAATAAGGGGTGGGGTGGGGTAAAGTTAAGGAACCTGGGGTGGGTTGTGAGGTTGCGCATGAGTCTGGGAAGGAGGGTAGAAGCGGGTTCAGGAAAGGGCTGCCGGAGGTTTCTCATTTAGAGAAGGTACTGCATGGCCTGTGGCTCCAGACCGCACCCTTTTGCGGGCTTGGATTGAAGGTTGTGCATTCTGTGGTTGCGCGCAGCCTGAGCGGTGTTTTGCTGAGCTGCACTCACGTTGTGTGTTCTCCGCGCCCGTGTGTTGTGTTGGTGCAGGCGGAGCACTTCTTGTCGGCGCATGAGGGCGAGGCGGCGCCCGCCAAGGAGGGCGAGGAGGCCCCCGCCGCCAACGGTACCGCGGAGGACGCCGCCAAGCTGTAGGCAACGGAGCGGTGGCTTGCACGCGTGCCTGTCTGCGCAGGAAGGGAGGAGAGGATTGGACTGAGCAGGGAGGGCGCTGTTTGGGTCGGTCTCCGGGGCCGGGTGCTGTTTGGTTGCATGCAGGCACCCCGTCTTCTCTGCGGGACACTTGTTCGAGTGCAGTCTGGGCGGAGAGGGGCTTGCAGTCTTGGTGGCTAGCTTGGCAGCATCGCTTGTGGCGCTGAGCGATTGTGGGCCGTTTGGTGTCTGGTCTCCCTGAACCATCATGAAGACATGCGACGCCCATGTCTTGGTTTTGGGTGGCAGGTGACGCTTGGCGTTTGCAATGCAGGGGGTTTACCATACCCGGATCGCGGCTAGTTTGAACGTAATCCAGGATGTACGGGAGCACGCTTCAATAGGTGCTTTCTGGGAGGTCTTTGCTGCTGCCCTTCCAGATATAAGGGGTCTTGGGGTGTGGGGGCGTATGTGACAAAGAGCGGAACGGCGTTATGTTTGTCGCATTTGGTGTCATGTGTGGTATGGTTGCATTTAGTGCCATGTCCTTCCAGAGTGTTATCTTGTACCTCAAAATCTAGCTTGCAAGCGGTGAGTGTGAGTGCGCGCTATGAGCGCCGGCTGTTGCCGCGGGCGTATTGGCTATTCTTTTATTGCCCTCGAGTGGCATTCCACTCTAGGGCCCAACAAGCAAACTGGCTGTGTTTGCGTTTCAATGTTTCAAGTAGGTTCGTGGTAGTGCTGCGTAGCGGTGATGGCATGCGTCATTTTGTCGCGGGGTCGGACTGAAAGGGTGTGATTAACAGGCGGCGATGGTGACGATGACAGCGTGTGGGGACCCTATGCTGGGAAATGCCTCTAAAATGCGAGGATGAGGCCTTTGTTACTGTTCAAACTGTAATGACGCTGTGGCATGGCGTTACGGGGTCCTGTTTTCTGTGTCGCAACACAGAGACTAGTGTGTAGCGCACTGACCCGCCATATACTTTGAGAGCTTAGTTGTAGTGGCAGCGAGGGCGGCATCCCGACGAACGCATACCCACCCGGCCGAAGCTGCTTCTAATTGACGCCAAGGACGTCCAATGCGGCACCTTATTTCATATTACGGACTCCGCCTGCATCCTGCCGGTGCAGCTGCATGACCCATGGGTCAGCCACCCACCCCTCCACCGGGTCCACGTCAGGCAGCGTGCCCTAATCGCCGGCTGGGCCGCAGCCGGCCGCCCAGCCCGCCTGCAACGCAGTTAGCACAGCATCCAGACCACCATTGCGGACTCCCTGACGCGACGCCATACGACAGGCATGATAATGTGTCAACCGAACCAACCAAAAGCTATAGCCTTTCCCAACATTCAATCCTTTTACTGTGGTGAAGTCCGTGTCAGATTGTATAGACCGTGTCAGATCGTGTAAGAAGCAGCGCAGGCGAACCGTCTCCTTAAACTGAGCCGCGGAAACGCTGACCCTGACCGTAGTTTACCGGAGGATGATGGCGTCCCAGATGTCGAAGCATTGTATTCAGCGTCGTAGGATGGTAGTAGACACTGAAGTATCTGTAGTGGTGAGTGTCTGTAGTGCACTGGTATTTAAGCGGCTGGCCGTATTTCAGTGGATGGGAAATGGGATCAAGGTGCATAAACCCATACACACGGCCAGGGGCACGCAGGAATGGCAGTCTCTCTTGACGTACGGCAACAGGCGGCCTCCGCTTTGATGCGGCTCGGGGCGTAGGGACATAGCTTTACTGGTTGGGCCGAATGCAGATGCTTCTTACAGGCTCACGGTCCTGATACTTACCGGTATGTAAATATACCGTGTAAAGCGACAGGGCATGTCAGGGGCCGGCCGCTGCAGGCGGGAGACCATTTGGTACACTACGGCTTACACTCTCGTATGTTAACAGAACTGGCCGCGAGTTGATTCGTGTGTTAAAATAACTGGCCGCCAGGCGGAACGTGTTTGAGTGTGTCATAGCCCAGGGTCGGCCCCGACTACTGCAGCACAGTACGCGGCGTCAGGGCCCGGGAATGCCACGAAAGGCACCCAAGGCAGCTTGGTAACACACCATGCGCCATCCTGCTTGCGCCAAAAACTTAAAAGTACCTTCCTTGCGAATTCCTCGAACGACATCTTTCTTGTCCCAACCCCAGCTACTTCCCCTTACCCTCATACCGAGACCCGAAGGCATTCCCCGCCGCCTCCCAGCCCGATCCCAGCCGCATCTCCATTCCCTGACCCTTCGCACAGAACCCCCAGCCGCTCCGGTGGTTGATCGCACAGCACCCGGGACCCACAACTAGCCGCGAACCACTCCCCTGACACGCGAAACCATGCTGCCCGTTTCGCTCCGCCGTACACCCTCCCGCGCTGCTCTCGAGCTGCCCGCCGGCGGCAACGCTGAACCCATCTCCGTCGTTTCGCATTGCCGTACATCGCTTGTCCAACTGCAGCGATGCCCGATCCGCAACGTGAAAGCCGCACCCTGCGTTGCCGCTCGCTTCACATCTTGCTGCAACCACCAGCCGAGTGCCCCGCTGCTTGGCCGACCAGCCATGGCCCTCGTTCCCCTCCGCCGCGCACCCCTCCCCAGCCTCCACGCTCGCACCGTCCCATGCCGCAAAACCCGCCACGCCGTTTCCAACCGCCGTACACCTCACCCCTGCGACCAAGCGTGCGCCCCCGCCGCCTCCAGCCATGAACCCACCTTCCGCATTTTTCCTCGCCGTGCACAGCGTGCCCAACATCAAGCTGCCTCCCGCCTCCACTCGAAACCCAGATCGCTCATTCAGCTCTGAAATGCAGCCCTTGCCAACCGTTACCTTGGTGCCAACACCGCACGCGAAGAAGCCGTCACGCGCATTGCTCGCCGCCACGCAGCCCTCACCAGCAAGCAGCCTGCCGCTGTCAGCGGCCGCGAAACCGCTGCCGTACAGCCACGTCCTGTTGGGCAGCACCAGCCAATTCCGCCGTGTACTTTTGGCAGTGCCGATGGGACCGGCAAGGGAAGCTGCCAAGCCGCCGCCGCTGCTGCTGGCGGCGGCGGCGGCACCTTCGGTTACACTGACAACAGTCCACTTGCCATTGCCATCCGAGCGACAGCGCTGCAGCTCCAAAAGGCCGCCACCAAGCGCCAAGAACCCAGCGGCACCGTTGCACCTCGCCGTCGCGTCCTCCGCCGCCGCCGTACTGCCGGCGCCGCTAGCCGCCAGCCCAAAGCACGGAGCTCCAGCCAGCTCGCAGCCCCCCCGCAACTCCACGCTGGCACCTCGCAGCGCGACCACGCAGCCGCCACGGCTCCTGTTGCTGATGTTGCTTTGGTGACCAGTAAACGTCGCGACGCTGCCTCCGCCTCCCGCCGCTGCTGTAGGCTGCCCGGTCGCTTCCGCCTGGGAGGCTTCTGCGGCCGTCGCAGCAGCTGCAGCAGCTGTTGCTGGCGTTGCTGCTGTCGCGGCTGCCACCACCACCTTGCAAGCCACCAACACCGCGCTACTCCCCGGCCCCACCGCTGCCACAACAGCTGCCAGCGGCTCCTCATTCGCATGATGGGGGCCGCGAGAAGTCCTGGAAGAAGACGAGGAGGAGGAGGAGGCTGAGAGGTTGGACGGCAATGGGGCAAAGATGCAGCCGGAGGAACGAAACGTGATGAACTCGAAGCGCGCCGTCGCGTCGGCCTCCACCAACACGCAGCATCCCTCCAGCGTGCCGTTGCGCAGGAGCAGCTGGACGCATGGCGGAACGCACAGAATGCAGTCCGCAGGTGATCCGGCGCCGCTGCCGCCTCGCTGATTCCCACCTCCGCGTCCGTCAACGGCACCGCCGACGTCACCGCCGCCGCCGCCGCAAGGGCGCAATGTACCGCCCGCAAGGTCAACTTCGAGCACTGGGGTGCGGCTGGTGCCGGTGGGTGCCGGCAAAGTGGTTTGGTGCTGGAAGAGCGAGCCGTCGGCATGAGGACTTGATGCGCGGGTGGCTGCTGCTCCTGCAGCTGCTGCTGTTGCCGTTTCGGCGGCGGTGGCGGCGGCTGAAGAGGTGCCGGTAGGGGGGGCGGAGGTAGTGTTTATTGCGGCGGCGCTGTCAGCCGCCTGCCGCTGCCGCTGTTGCCATTGCTGCCGCCAGGTGTTGACACAGGTCTGCAGATCCTGTAGGCTGGTGGGAGGGCGCTGCGCTGCTGCGTTCGTTATCACCGCTGCCGGTGCGGTAGGTGGCGGTTGGAGTGGTGCCGCTGCTTGTGCTGCTGCTGCTGATCCCGTCGCTGCCGCCGCCAGAGACGATCCTCCTTCTGCCCCTCCGGAACCGGCTTGGGATGTGGGTAGCTGCCGCACGCTCCGCTGCTGGGACAGCGGCTGCGGTTGCTGCTGCTGGGGGCTCCTCTTCCTTCCTGCCTCTGACTCCACCTCCTCCTCTCCTGCATCGGCGCCTGCTGCCGCCCCCGCCCCGGAGGATTCTGAGGAAGAGCTTTCCAGCAGCTCAATCACCTCCACAGCAGCAGCAGCAGCAGCAGCAGCAGCAGCAGCAGCGGCACTGCAGGGAACGCTGGAAGGCCCGTCAGCAGATGAAGTCCTTAAAGCTGGAGCTGCGGAATCAGAGTCAGCAGCTGGCGCGGCCAGCACCCTGGCTGGATTACCTGCTACCGGCTTCGAGGAGGCTTCTGGCTTGGCGGCAGCCGCTGCCGGGCGCTCCCGTGGCGGCGCTGTCAGCCGCTGCTGCTGAGGAACAGCCGTACTGCACCGCTCCGCCACTGCTGCCGTACATGACATTGTTGCTGCTGCCGCCGCCGCCACTCCCGCCGTCGCCACCGGCGGCAGACAGATAGGCACCTGGCGACAGCCAATAACTCCCGCAATAGGCGGCGCAGCCTCGCCGACAGCTGGCGCCGGCAAGCCCATCGCCACTTCCCCGCACATGCCGCCCCCGCCTTCCCGAGCAGCTGAAGGTAACCCGTGCGCCGTCACCATCTCCGCCGGTGCCTGGACTGACGTAAGCGCCGCGGCCGCCAATGCGCTGTCAGCTGCTGATGCGCTACTGCCACCGCTGATGCTGCCGCCGCTGCCTACATGCATCAAAGAAGCACCCCCATCGCTGCTGCTGCTGCTGCCCTGGCCGCTTGCCTCGGTGCTGCCGCCACCGCCATTGCCGCCTCGGGTCCCAGCGACGGCGGCGCCGCTGCCAGACCGGCAAGGATGAGTGCCGCCGTCAACTGCCAATCGTCGCCGCGCCGGCGGCGGCTCCCTGCTTCCACCGCTGCTGCTGCTGCTGCCCACTCCCACTGGCATGGCGGCCGCCAAATGAGCACGCCGCAGCAGACTGTGCAGTGGCCTTGGTTTCGGTGGAAGGAAGGCGGCGGCGTCATCGTTGGTGTGGAAGCCCTGCGGACCGGTCCTGCATGCGCCTCCGCAGCTGCCGCCAGCACCGTGAGTTGCATGGGTCCCTGTTGTGTCGCCGCTGCAGCCCACATCGCCGCTGCATGCAAGGGTTGAGCCTACCAGTTGGCTGGTAGGCCCCTGCCCTTGCTGCTGCTGCTGGGGCGGCGGCTGCGGCGGCAACGGCTGTTCCTTTACAAAGGGTAAAGCAGCGAGTGAGAGTAGCGCCGCCGTGTTAGCTGCATGCGTGCCCTCGTTGACAGCAGCGCGGTCGTCAGTTGCTCTTGAAGGCGACAGCCTATGTTTCACCCCACCAGCATCACCGGCGCTTCCGTTCTCGGTACGAATAACGGCAGTGTCCGCTGCATCCCACTGCACCCTGCCACCCACACCGCTCAGGCCAGAATCATGGAAGGCTTCAGCAACGGTTTCAGCAGCTCGGTGGCCACGGGGCCAGCTGGCTGGAGCTTCGGCGCCATGTGGCGCCGCTTGGGCTCCTGGTGCGGTGACGGCGACCGGTGCAACTGGTGCAGCCTTTACGGTGGCGGCGGCGGCGGCCGCGGCGGCGTCCAACCCCGGCATCGGCCCTCGAGGCCCGCCGAGCTGCTTCTCCGCCTGTTGTTGTTGCTGCTGCGGCTGCGTGGGCGGCAGTGGAGGCGGCTGTGATTGGTGTTGGGCAGTGGAGGGGCTGGTAGCTGTTGCTGTTGCGGCAGCTGCTGCTCCTGCCGCCGCACCGCCGGCGTTGAGCTCCTGCTGCTGCTCCTGCTTGACAACGAGGTCCATGAGGACTGGGGCTGAGGGACTGGTGTTAGTAGTCAGGCGTTGAAGCGGCGGCGGCGACGGCACCGCCATCCCAGCAGCTGCGTCCCCGGTTCCGCCGTCCTCGCTGACTGCAGCAGCAGCAGCCCCGGTAGCATCAGCCGCGGTGACAGCATTAGCCCCATGTCCGCACGCAGAAGCTGAAGCTGCGACCGCTACATCGATGCAATGGGGAGCATCAGCGCTGCGAGCAGCACCGGTAACAGGCGTTGCTGCTGGTGCTGCAAGAGCCGTAGGGGGGTTGGGAGCCGCCGCGACGACATCGCTCAAGGCTGCTCCTGCTGCTGCTGCTGCTGCTGCTGCTGTCGCTAACGCCAGTCTTGTTACCTTGTTGCCACCACCCAGGAAGCGCTCAGGCGCAGCTCCTAACGAGCTGGCAGCAGCAGGGCTGGCAGCAGCAGAATCCGTGCTGCCCCCCGCCCCGCCCGCAGCCCCCAAAACGTCCGCCGCCGCCAAGGGTAACACCGTGGGCGCTGAGGGCGGCGCCGCGAAGGGCACCGGCACCTCTGCCGAGGGAGCTTCATTCGCCATCCCTTGAGCTGTTGCTGCTGTTGCTGCTGTTGATGCCGTCAGGACATCAGCTGTTGTAGTCACTGTCGTGGCGGCCGGGCTGCCGGCAGTGGCAGCTCCTGCACCGCCACCACCACCACCAGCCTTCCCCAGCATGGCATGCGCGGGAGGAGCCGCACCTTGACTAACACCGCCACCGCCGCCGCTGCGGCCGCTGGTGTTTGCAGCAAGAGGTGCGTGCCGTACATGTCCTACCATACCATCGCTATCCAAGGCAGCTACATCTGCGGTTCGTCGTACGATTGCGGTCCGAGTTGTAGCCGCGGCGGAAGTAGCAGCTGCGAAAGCGCGCGTGTGCTTGCGCATCCACAGCCCGATGGCGCTCCGGATGTTGCGCGCGGGAATGAGGTCAGCGGGGGTCAGCGGCGTGCCTGCGTGGTTGCGGATAATCGGATGCACGCATAAGTGGAAAGAAGGGAAGTGCGCAGGGTGACGGCTGGCACACGTATACACACCGGTGCGAGAGCGCAAATCCTCTGGTCATGGCCATCCTCATAAGATGTTGTACGCTAACCGCATAAGACCTAGCCCTTGGATCCTGATGCCCTTGGGCCTCGCTCTTATAACCCAAGACCACCTCCGATTAGTCACACCTGTCGCACCTGTCAACGGATTACTGCCGTACACCTCCATGTGCGCCTCGATGGCAGTCCGCTCCCAAGACACACCGGGGTTGTTCCGATCCAGCACCGGATCCAGCATCAGCTTGCGGCTAAGCGGGCAAATGTACGACACGGGAACTTCGTCGGACGTAAACTCCAAAAGCGTGACGATAGGTGCGCCCAAAGGCGCAGAAGAGGTACAGGTGTGGGAGGTGGTGGGGTGAGCAGGACCACAGGACGCCGTGAGGGCTTGCGTGCTTGCGTGGTCCGTACAAGCTCGCTTGGGAGGCCTGCCCTGGACGTCCTCCAGTTTCCCGTTGTCCACTATAAAAACGTCGATGGCTTCTTTTAATGAATGAAGCGTTTGCAACGGAGATGTTAGCTTGCCAAAGCCTGGGGTTCGAGTTCGAAGCGGAAGGATACAAATTGTTTCAAATTTTTCGCTAACATTGGTAGAAGTAACCGAATCAAGCAACGTTTTAAATTTTAAGTTGTAATACTGTCAACATGGCCATGAGTCTGCACCTGTTACTGGCCGCACGGAGAACTGTTGCATGTGCGCCGCAAACGCCTCACGCTCCATCGCACGGCCCTCGCCATCGTCGGGGTCTATGATGGGATCTAACATTATCTTCCAGCATAGAGGACAGAAGAAAGCGCTGGGAACTGCCCCGCATCGTAGCAGAAGAAGCCGAGGCTGCGAGGGCTCCATCGCTGCAGTCACAATGATGGAAAAGAAGTATATTGCGATCTGTTAGCGAAATAAGAACTTTACGGTGGTATACATGTCCGACGGTTGGTGAAGGCTACAGCGCAGGATGTCAAAGCGCTAAGGAAAGCAAGGCTCCCACGGCCGAAAAGCTGTAACACGACATCGTCCGTTATGGTAATGGCACAATACGTGCTGCGCCCTATGGATCTTATGTTCGGTGCTCTGACTTGCCCCGTACGACGACGCTGCCTATCTTGCTTGCTTCATGGACCCCAATTCCAAGTTTAGTCCTTGCTAAACCGCCCCGCACCCTAACACGAGGCTTCGATTCGTCACTTTCTCCTCCTATGTGCGTGGGCCATTCAAAACGTCATCCCTACAGGTGCATTCCTACACCGCTTGTGCATATTCGTTGCTGGGACACGGGTTAGCCATCATCCATCATCTTCTGCACTCACATACGTCAGTGATCTCGGTCCTTCCATGCACGTCGGTGCGGATCGTAATTGCAAATCTGCAATTACATGGGATATACTGCCACGCGCACCGTCACCAGGCGTTGTGTATCGAACAATTTGTAAGCTTGCCATTTACTCGTACCACTTCTTCTCGTAGTTCTCGAGCAAGCACCCGCGTTCCTGCCAAGGTGCAACCCCATATGGCAAACCACCAAAACACCAACACCCACCTCCTTTCCCCAACCCTCAACCGCATGCTGAACAATGGCACAGCTAGAAGAATGCAAGAAGAATAAATGCAAGAATGCAGCTACACGGTGCACAAGCTGGCCAAAAGTGCAAGACGGTTTGTAAAAGAAACTGAGTTACCTACCGTAATGTTCCCCAATCGTGGGCCTCACAAGGTCCGTCACGCATACCCTCTTCTCAGTACCGGTGCACCACACACGGTGTATTTTCACCCACCACTCTTATAGCTCATGCTTCTTACGTCCTACTTACTCTCAGCCCCAGTACTGGACTTATATATGTACATACGCTACCATATTCCTCGGCTCCTGCGGCGGTTCTGTGGGGACTTCATCTTCCGACATCCCAGTACGTTCCTACTCGCGGCCAGTTTTCTTAACACACACAGTACGTTCCTACTCGCGGCCAGTTTTCTTAACACACACCCCTCCCGCACGCTGCCCCTTGTTACAACCAAACCCCTATATATATCAACATGTCAGCGCTACCTCAGTGACTCGCATTGTGACTCACCGCGCGCCCAGCCAACCCAACTGTCGAGAGCCTAACCCCAACCCCAAAACTCAAGCAAAACCCGAAACTAGCAAATCGGATTGCGTGCGGCTCGGCCATGTGCTCGGCCATCTTACACACGCGTGTCGCACGCGCCTCCACACCGCCCACAAGTGCACAAACCCCCGCCCACGTCCCACGCATGACCACGTTAAAAGGCAAAAGTAGGTATACACGTTGAGCCATGCCCACTCGCTACTAATGTTTGGGTCGCCACACCAGGGTAGCCACTGACAGCATCATCAGTATCAGCCATCAGGACTCACCGGTACATGTACCGCTTTGGGCCTCAAGGCATGTTGTTAATACCAACACCGGGAGATTTTAAGACCACTTTGCGGGAAAAAAAGTAATCTGCTGCTTGCCCGGTCTGCCCAGTTCGGCTACTGTCTGTCCCAAAGTCCAACCAAACCCAAACGTCATACGCAACCAACGCAAGCCCTGCACACGTGCCTGAAGTCATTAACAACACGTAGTCGTCAAAAGCGATGATGATGCATGACAACAACGTATTTCCGGTATCCCCCAGCCACCCGTCTGTACGCCCTCTAAGCCCTTCCCATGCATCCATGGACCGCCAGTCCCCCCCCACCACTTCTTTTTCGGGTACTCTCTTCCTCCCCCCCCATTTCCGCCCGCACACACAACACCGTAGCTATCGTGGCATGCCGGCTGCGGCTGCGGCCCCATCCCTTGACCCCATCACACCATCTGCATTCGCGGGCCACCTAGCTCGCCCATGCGAACCCACAAGCCGCGCAGACAGGCCCCCTCGCCCTCGCCCTCGCCCTCGCCCTCGCTGCCATTCCTCAAGCTTTCAACTGTTGCCGCTTCGCCCGCTGCCACTGCTACCGCTGCTCCTGGCAGCGGCAAGGGTGTTACTGTCCGGCTGGAGGGTCCCGCCCTCGCCATTTCCACCTCCCCACCGCACCGCCTCGGCTCCCCCGCAGCTACGTTGCAGCCCCCACCGCTCCGACCCGCCACTGCTGCTGCCGCCTCCGTCCCTGTTGTACCCGCCGCATCCCTCCTCATACTACTACTACTACTACTACTGCTCCTCAACTCCAGCAATCTCCGCCGCTCCTCACAGCCGCCATCCAGCCCGCCCTGCTCCCCAACATCCCCCAGCCTCCCCTCCTCCTGTCCATGCAGCACCTGCTGCTGCTGCTGGCCCCGGCTCCCGCAGTGCACCGACACAGCCCTCAGCAACAACTCAGGACACCCACCACCACCACCACCACCACCACTACTACTTCCCGCCTCCGCCACCCCGTTAGCAATCCTGGTGGCCCCGCCGCACTCCAAGTCAGGCTCTAAAACCTGTCCCACAGCAGCAGCAGCCCCGGTCGAGGGGTTAGTACCCATAGCACTCGCAGCATCGGCAGCCCCGCCCGTTGAGGCCTTGCCTGCTGTTGCTGCTGCGTCTCCACCCCCACCCACCGCAGCCGCCCCACCAGCGGCATCATCATCAGCTGCTGCTGCTGACGCTGCTTTTGCTTCTGCCGCCGAAGGTGTTGCAGCTTCCGCAGCTGCTGGGTTCTTTGACTTCAGGTTGACCAGGATGGCTCCCCCGGCGATCAGGAGCGAGCCGGCGCCTCCCAGCAGGGTGAGGTGCTCGTGGAGGAACAGAAGGCCCTGGATGTACGACAACACAACCTGGGGGGGTGGGGAGGGTTGTAGACAAAGGGGGCCGTGCCGTGGTATGAAGAGGAGGGAACAGGAGGCTGGTTGGGTCACAGGATGTGGTGTTTTGAGGAAACTGGTCGCGAGTCGGAAGGTACTGTACAGGTAATTGCCGGAAGATGATGCATGCACGTGAACTACACACATGTACCCCACGGGGCAAGTAACACTGGTAGCATGCAATCGGCATGGCCCAGCATCATACCCAAAACACGATCCCCACCTTCCTCCCAGTCCCCGTCCCTTCCTCACCCCGCCGCCACCAACCCGCCGGGCCCTACCTGCGTAAAGTTAATGCCCGACGCTCTCGCCGCATGCAGCAACTGAAACCCCCGCCCAATCATCAACTGACCCACAAACGACCCCGCTGACACCGCCCACAGCAGCAACCACTGCGCCCCGCTGGGCGCAATCGCACGCGTGGGCAGCCCCGCGGCCAGCGGCCCGATGGAGGTAAGCGCTGCGCACACGTGGAAGTAGACCGACATCACCAGCGGGGGCTCGCGTTTGCCGATGTAGCGGATACAGATGAACGCACCGGCCGAGAGGAGCGCGGAGGACAGGCCCATGAGCGTGCCAAACAGACGCTGCTCGGCTTCGGTTGCTGCTGCGGCGGTGCTTACACCCACACCGTTATCGGCATGGAGAGCAGAGGAGCTGCTGCCGGTGCTGCTGCTGCTGCTGGCCATTCCGCTGGAGGCATCTGAGGCTGAGGACACGGTGGTTTCGGAGCCAAACAGGAAGGGCGGTCGGGTGACTAGTACCAGGCCGCACAGGCTGATGAGCACTCCGGCCGCCCCTCGCAGCCCCAGCGGCTCCCTCATGATAACCCAGGCTGCAACCGCGGTGATTGCTGGGTTGAGAAAGAAAAGCGTGACAGCATCTGCTAGTGGCAGCATCTTGATGGAAAAGTAGTAGGTGGTCATGGCTGCAGCGCCGAACAGGCCGCGTGCGATGAGCAGGCGGAGGTTGGCGCGGCGCCCGAAGAGGGGCGCCATTTTGCGTGCGCGCGCGAAGAGTGCACAGGCGGTGAAGGAGGTAAGGGAGCGGAAGGCGACGATTTGGAAGACGGGCATGGAGGGGCCTATGAGTTTGACGAAGAAGGCGGCGAAGGAGAAGGACAGCGCTGCGAGGCAGACGCAGGCGACGCCTGAGTCCCATAGGGCTCTAGGGAAGGGGGAGAGGAGGGGGAGGGAGGGAATCGGAGAAGTGAAGCAACGAGTCCCGATCGGGGGGTAGTGGGGTAGTGACAGCGGGCATGTCTGTTGTGGGGTTGGGGAAGGATGCGCGGGAGGAGAGGGGTGACGACACACGGGAGGGGTGCGCAGTTATATCAAGTAATAAAAGCGCCGTAGAGCATGAGCTAATTAAGAATGCTGGGGTCAGTAGTTGTTGAGGATGGGAGGGCCCTGATAGCACGCATGCATCAACGAGCAACAATGTGTGTTGGGAACGCGCGACAGCGAACAACGAGCTAACCAAATTGAGAAAGCAGTACTGGTAACGACGTCTACGTGGGTAATAACAGTGAGGTGTTGCAAAGTAAACGCCTCCGGCGTTGCCCTGCTGCATCCCATTTCCCTTCGCCAAGAGCGACTCTTACAGCATAAGAGCCCCAAGTCGTCGCCTGTGCGCCTCATAAGCTGACTGGGGAACGCCAGCACTGGTAGCACTGGAGGAGCCTTCCGGACGACCTTGCAGGAGTGGCGTGTCGTCATCGGGGGGTCCCTTTTGCGTTGCCATGGGCACTGCAAGCGGGTGTTTATTTACTAAATCACGACCTGTAACCTATACACATTTCTAATATAAAGGCTGTGGAAGCCTTTGCTAAAGACGTTCAACACATGAAAGCTGAGAACAAAGTTGCAGATTGTAAATTGTAAGATTACAGCTGCCAGCTAGCGTTTCAAAAGGCCATCTCAACGGCTTCTCGCCCGTTCGCTCTTTTTGTCCTGATTACTAACAAGCCGTTGTACATTACGCTGGCGTACGAGCGTACCGAATGCGCAACGCATACTTTGAAGTTAAAGCAGAGAAGAGTAAGGAGCATGGCTTGAACGGCTTTCGTGGCCATCGACGAACATAAGACGGTCACGCCTTAAGAGTAAGGCCGTACACCTCCCCTTAGCAGGCATCCCCTGAGCCATGGGCGTTTTATCCTGCTGCTCATGCTTCCAAGAGTTTTGCAGAGAACCCTCCAAGTGTCGCGACCATGCAGTCATTGACGCCTGCTGAGCTGCAGCAGGGATTGCATAGCCGTGGCTCTTTCCTCAGTAAACCACGCTCTTGTACGGCGCCTTTGAATGAAGGACGCCTGCATGTTACGGAGATGGGCTGTGGATGAGACTTCACTACCTGCACATGCAAATATGTTGCCAAATTAGGCATCCCATGTACGGCAGCCGTTTGGGCTGCTTTGGCACCACGACTGGACATTGCATCTAATGATCTTGGTGCGTCAGAACAAGGCTGTGCCGGAAAGACGTCAACATACGCAAAAGAGCGGCAGCACAGCCGCAAGAACAATACCCTTCCGCAGCGGAACAGATGAAGGATAGCGTGCTTCATGTTGAAAGGAACATTGCATGCCGGAATCGTGTCATCAACCTACGTACCCAAATTCATGTCATCAGCACATACATGTAAAATCCAGCCATTATGAAAGTCCTAGCAAAGGGGTGCTTTCAAGCAGCAGGCACGCATGCAACGCGGACGTGCTGTGCTGCCGTCCCGTCCAATCCCATGAATTGTGTGTCCAAGCAGGTCGCAACGTTACGTTCAAGAACGAGCAGCTAAACCGGGTTCGGTCAGCAAAAGGAGTCGGTTATATGCATTCCCACGGCAAGCAACTGTACGGCATCAACAAAACCAAGGTCGCAAGGTGTACGGTTTTCGTGTGCTGTACAACAAAAAGCAAGGAAAATTAGTGACAGGAGCAACCAACGGGCATTAGCGTTGGTCATATAAACGTATCTTGGTTATGCGGTCAGCGGTGTGGTAATCATCAACATGCAGCGGGCCCGTGTGGCGAACAAACGCCGTCTTCATTGCCCCGGCACCAAACGATGACATGGGACACATGGCAAACATGCACCCCAACCCAAATCACGAACACAACCCAAATCGCAACTGCAAGTGTTCGTACAGCAATACCGGGGTTCGGGAATTCCCCCTCAACACCGCATTATCAACATTGTGGTAATCCGAGGGCTCTTTTAGACGTGCAAGCACCAAGCAGGCTTCCAAACCCCACGGGGCCGCATCCACCGTCAAGCCTCTGCCTGCCCGCAACCTCAGTACACACGCGCGCATGCACACATGCACGAAAAAATGCAGCCCCCAGGGGGGACATAAATGCGATTAAAGTATGCTCGAGGCCCACCACAAGAGATACAAGATACTTGCTACAATGTCCCATGGGTCCTACAGTGCGTCGTGTCCAAACCACAGAATCGTCGAGGTATCACCTGCCCGAGTGGCCCCAGCCTTCGGTTGCCAGCGGAAACTAGTCCAGCTTACGACATGTTCTTACTTTCCTCAGCACATACCCCCCCCTCCAACAACACACATAACCCCCCACCCTCAATCGCCACCAGCCCCACACGTTTCCTTTCCGCAAATGTACATGCATGCATGTGCCGGGGTGCAACAAAGTGGCCTCCGTCTCTACGCGCCTGAAACCACCCAACAGCACCGTGAACCGGTAACAAACCAGCCCGTCCCCCTCTCCATTTACCCGCCCAAACCCCCGGCCCCACACCACACCCTCACCCAAACTTCCTGCCTGCCTTTGCCTTGCCACCACTCACTCGCCCTACTCCTCTTCCACCTGGCCCTGACCCTCTCCCTTACCCCCCTCCCCCGCTTCTCCTCCTCCCCCCTTCTCCCCGCCCTGCTCCGGCCCCTGCCCCTGCGCCCCCTGCTGCGCCTCCGGCCGCTTCCAGTACTCGTAGTTGTCCCTGAAGCCCGCCTGCAGCGGCGCCGCGCCCGGGAACGCCGCCGCCATGGCATGCACCAGCGGCAGCGCCACCACGTCGAAGAAGCCCAGCTGGCTGCTGCTGACGCCCTGCTTGGTGCGGTCGGAGAGCGGGCTGATGGGCAGACCCAGCTGCCGTTCCCGGTCGCCCTGCCGGAAGAACTCCTCCTCCAGGCCCGCGACCCACCTGGGGGGGGGGGAAAGAGGGGGGGAGTAGAGGAGGAGGAGGAGGTGGAGTAGAGGAAGAGGAGGGGGTGTCAAGAGGGACCACACCGTAAGACTCCACAAGTTCCTAGTTAGGTGCCTCCCCCCCCTTCAGCCCCCCTATCAGCCCCCCCCCCATATCAGCCCCCCCCCCATATCAGCCCCCCTCCCTTCAGCCCCCCCCTTCAGCCCCCCCCTTCAGCCCCCCCTTCAGCCCCATCCCCCCGCCTCCTCACCTCTTGTAGCACTCCCTCTCCCGACCCAGATTGCCGATATCCGCACACTTCAGCGCCAGCTGCAGTGTCAGCAGCCGCTCCGTCTCGTCGAGGGGCTTCGGAGCGGCGGCCACACCGCCACCCGCGGGTGATGCTACTGCAGCAGCAGCAGCAGCTGTAGCAGCTGTTGGGGTTGGGGTTGGTGTGGTTGCGGTTGCTGCTGTTGTGGTGGTGGTTGCAGCAGCGGCCCCCGAGGCCAGCACATCCACCATAACCTCCCTCAACTCGTGCCCTCCGCCTCCGACTCCGCCTCCTCCCACATCGCCTGTCGCGCCGCCTGTGGCTGCTGCTGTTGCTGCCGCTGCCGTGGCTGCTGTGGCTGCTGCTGTTGCTACTGCCGCTGCTGCAGCAGCCGTCGTGGCTGGGTTTGCATGTGTGGAGTGTTGGCGTTGGTGCGGGTGCGGGTGCGGGTGAGGAGGCGGGTGCTGCTTTTCCTGTTGCTGCTGCTGTTGCTGCTGCTGTTGCTGTTGCTGCTGCTGGTATGCTGCCAGGCGGTGCACGGTGTTGAAGTGGCTGAGCAGCGAGAAGTGCTGCTTCATGTCGGTGGCGAGCACCAGGTCGATCACCTGACACACACACACACATCACCAGCAGCAGCGGCAGCAGCGGCACCAGCAGCAGCAGCAGCGGCACAGCACGAGGGGCGGGGGCGGGTTCGTGAGCAGGGTCAGGGGCGGGGGCGGGGGGTGGCATGACCTGGCATCACATGACGACGTCAGCGGGGGGTGGCGGACGTGGGCATCCCCACACCATCCCGCCCCTCCCCACACCATCAAGCCTCGTCATACAGTTCGTCGGTTTCCTTACTTTTACCCCCACACCTGCCCACACCATCTTGCTTTGGTGTCACCTTCCTCTGTACCCAGGTCCCCCCCCAGACCCCACCCCCACCCACCAGCTTCCTGAACGCCGCTCGCTCCCCGCCCCCCAGCCCCGCCAGCATGTCCAGCTCCGGCGCCCTCCGCAGCAGGGTGAATGCGGCTGCACAGTGGTGTTGCTCCAGGGGGGAGCGGTCGTTGTAGCGCAGCGCCAGCGGGTGGCTGGAGGCAGCCAGGAAGTCGCCGGTGAGACCGGGGTGACCCAGGTCGTGGATGATCTGGGGGGGGAAGGGAAGGGGAGGAGGAGAGGAGGCAGGGGGGAGGGGAGAAAGTGGGCGGGGAGTGGAAAGGGGAGTGGAGAGGGCGTCTCAGGCTTCTGAAATCGAGAGAGGGGGGGCTGCCTCGCACTGGTGCATGATTGTGCGTGTCGTGGGTGCCTCGACACGCCCCACCCCCCCTCACCTTGTAACCCCATTGTTTTGCCCTAACTTGTGGTCTCCTATGGTTTGGTATGGTCTTTGACCCCCCTCACCGCTGCAAAGTACGCCGCCAGCAGTCCCAGCGGGTCCAGGTAGTGGGTGGTCAGCTGCGCGGCATGCAGCAGCACGTGCAGCAGCTGCAGCACGTCCGCTGCGTGCGTGGCGTTGTGGTAGGGGTTGGACTGGTAGCCGGACTCCAGGTGGCGGAGCAGCCTGGGGGGGGGGGGGGCGCAGGGGGAGGTGGAGAGGAGGGAGGGGGGGAGGGGAGTCAAGTGGGGAGGGGAGCACATGGCATGCCATGCTGGCAGGCAGCAGCAGCAGTCAAGCTGCGCTACCGACGGCAAGCAAGCAAGCCGTGCAATGCAGCAAGCAGGGCGGTGGGCAGGGCACACGCAGCCTCCCTCCCTCCCTACTTCTATCGCAGCTCCCTCCCTCCCTTGCAGCTTGCACCCCCCTCCCTCACAACTCCCTCCCCCGCACCCCCCCTCCCTCGCACCCCCCTGCGAGCAAGCAATCACCCCCAAGGCACCCCCAAGGCACCCCCACCCCCTGCACCCACCTGGCCAGTGTGACCGGCTTGACTCGCGCCGCCGCCGCCAGCCCCTGCCTGCTGATCAGGTGGAAGCCCAGCACCGACAGCGCGTGCCCGCGGGTGGCCTCCTGCAGCGCCCACATGTCGAAGTGCCAGCTGTCGCAGCAGGCCAGCAGGCGCTCGGACTGGCGGGGGGGGGAGGCAGGGGGGCAGGGGGGGAGGGAGGGGCGGGAGAGAAAGGGGGATTAGGTAAACTGAGCCGCGAGGAAAGAAGATTAAAGAAGAATACCACGCGTTGAATAGGAGGGGCGTGGCATGCAAGGCGATGATCTGCTGGTGAATGGAATCGAGTTTAGGGAGGAGTGGGGGTTGAGGAGGGGAGGGAGGGTAGGAGCAGCATTGCAGCCGGCAGGCAACCGCTGCGAGGCGTGCGAGCCGTGTCCCAATCCACGACATGAGGCCCCAACCATGCAACCCCCCCCCTCACACCACCCATGTCACCCTCCACAACCCCCCTTCCCACCTCTCCCCCGCTCCACCCACCTCCTCCACGATGGACGCCATGGGAGGCCCCGTCGCAACAACAACCGCCTGCTGCTGCTGCTCCCGCCTCCTCTGCTCTCCTCCACCACCCTCCGCTCCTCCTCCTCCTCCTGCTGCTGCTGCTTGCCCCCCCTGCTGCGCACCCCCTCCCCCCTCCGCATCAACACACCCCGGCAGTGTCCCGCAGGCCGACCTCGCCCCCGCCAGCAGCAGCTGAGGCCCCAGCCTACTGCCCGCCCTGCCACCGCCCGCACCCCCGCCACCACCACCCACCCCCATGGGCCCGATAAACAAGCTCTTCTCACTGCTCCCGCCCAGCAGGAATGCCCCCATCCCCAGCAGCCCACCCCCACCCCCACCCCCACCACTCCCGCCACCGCCACTCAACCCCCCTCCAAGCACCACAGGGCCCGTCATGGCTGCAGCCTCGCGCCCCCGCAACCGCCGTAGCACGGACACCGGCTTGTGCTGCTGCTGCTGCTTGCTGTTGATGCCGCCGCCACCACCACCTGCGCATGGAGGTGCAGACACCGCCAACCCGCCGCTAGCACAACCCGGACAGCTCTGACCCGCAGAGGCAGCAGCACCACCACCACCACCCGCGCTAAGACCACCACCACCACCACCTCCTCTAAGCCCGCCTGCGGCACCTGTGCTGCCGCCTCCCGCCAACACAGCAGGCGGGACAAAGCCAGCCGACGCACCTCCCCCACTGCCCCCACCCACACCCCCTCGACTCCCCAGCCCCATGCCTCCCCCTCCCCCCGGCCCGCCCTCCTCCAGCATCCTACTGCTAGCCACCGTGATCACCCCCGTGCCGCCTCCCTCCCCCTCTCCCTCCACCTCCACATAATCCAAGCAGCTGATGAAGGCGGGTACGGTGGCGGCCCCGCGCAGCAGCACCGGCAGCGGAGCGGACCGCCCCACTGCCGCCGCCGCGGCGCCTGACCAGCCGCCCCCGCCACCTCCACCCCCTCCGCTAGCAGGACCCGCGGCATCCGACAAGCTACCCGCCCGGCCAATAAACGGCCCCCCAGCCGCCCCTGCAGCAGCCGCCCCTGCAGATGTGGCAGCTGCTGCTGCTGTCGGAGACAGGGCTAGCGCTCCGAACCCGCCGTCCATACCACCCCCCCCAGCAGCAGTCCCTGTGGCGGTGCACACCGAGACAGCGGAGACGGCTGACGGCAGCGGCGCGCCGCTTTCCGGTGACACCAAAAAGGCGATTGCGCCGGCCAGGGTCTCCAAGTCGAACGCAGCCGCGCCCGCCGCTGATGCTGATGCTAACGCTGCGGCTGCGGAGGAGGAGGTGGTGGTGGGTATGCCGGCTGCAAAGGCAGAGGGCGGGTGGTTGTGCTCGTCTGCTGCCGTGCCTCCGGGTGCCGCGGTGGTGGTGGAGGTGCGGCGGCCGCCCACCAGCTGCTGCATGAGCGCCTGAGCTACCTCGGCCTTAAGGGGGGGGGAGGGGGGGGGAGAGGGTGGAGGGGGGAGGGGGTTAGATCCACACACACACACCCATGCAACCCCCACCACTCTAGTGCACCCATGTTGCCGCGTAATGTGCCATTCATGCCCTGCTCAGTTGCTCACTCCACCCCCCTCCCCCTGCCGTACACCCCACCCCCCTCCCTCTGCCGTACACCCCACCCCCCTCCTCACATCCAGGTTCGCCCCCCCGATGTGTCCCTTCACGTTGAGCGGGTGGTAGAGGTCCAGGTTGCGCAGCAGTGCGGTGCGAATCAGCACCACGTCCGCCAGCTCGGGCGCGCAGCCCGCCAGCAGCTGGCCCATCATACGCAGCAGCACGTCGGCGGGGGTCTCTGAGGGGGGAGGAGGGGAAGAGGAAACAACTAACTGACCGTGTGATAAGGCATCATCATGGTTTGCAACATGTGAGCCAGCCCGACCCGCCTCAAAGACCAAACCAAATTAAAGGAAACCACAGGTTAGGGCAAAGCAATGAGGGTGGGAGAGGGGTAGGGGGAGGGGAAGGGAGTGGCATGGAGTACCGGCAGCAGTGTCAATATACGGTAGGGGGCAAAAGAGGCATGCGCAGAGATACAACGTGACGCGAACAGCACACACGGATACGGGGACACAGCGTGCGAACCGCACCTATCATCCCGCCTCGCTTCCCCGCCCCCACCTGCTTGCTGTATCCCCCTGCCGCCCCCTCCCCCTCCCCCCCCTCCGCCTGCTGCTGCTGCTCCGTACGCCAGGTTGGAGGTGTCCTCCCGCCCCCGCAGATCCACCACCAGCTGGTGCGGCAGCAGCGCCTCAAGCAGCATCTGGTGGCGCAGCCTGGGGGTGGGTGAGGGAGGGAGGAGGCGGGAGGGGGGGTGGAAGGGGGTGGGAGGGGAGGGGAATGGAAGGGGAGTGGTAAAAGCACGGCACCGACCTGCCAGTCCCTCCCACCCCCCACCCCCCACCCCCCACCCCCCACCCCCCACCTCCCCGTCCCCATCCTACCGACATCTTTCCTCCACCCCCCCAGTCGGGATATGGGATTGGGACTCGTTGTTTCACTTACATAACTTTTTCCCCCATCCTTCCGTCCCCACCCCCACCCCCACCCCACACCCACCTGGACAGCAGTGCCGCCAGCAGCGCCCCCGCAGTGGCCGCCGCCAGCACCACCACCCCCGCCAGCAGCCCGCCCACCCAGCGGGGCGACCAGCCCTGGGCGGGGGACACGCGGATAACCCACTGCAGGGGGGGAGACGGGAGGGGGGAGGAGAGGGGGGGGATAAAAACTGACGAAACTGACGAACAGGGAGGGAGAGAAGCGTGTGGCTGCGCGGACACGGGGCAGGGGGCATGCAGGGAGCCGTGGAGCCATTGCAGCAGCCATGAGCCGCGCTGGTTGGATGGAGGGGGGGGAGGAGGTACACGGAAGAAGCTGTTGCGCTGGGTGCCTGGGGGTGTGGGGGCACTCCCCCTTTCACCTCCCCACCTCCCCCGCGCCCCCACCTTGCCCAGCCTACCTGGGTGTTGGGCAGGTGTATGGGCGCCTCCACGGGGTCGGAGGGGCGGACAGCGCTGGGGGAGGGGAGGTGAGGGGAGGGAGGGAGGGAGAGAGAGGGAGGTTATGGGGGAGAGGTCAGAGAGGGTGGGACCAGGGTTTCGGCCGTTTTCAGTCTTCAGCGCACCGCCCAGCGCGGCTGCCGCACCGCAAACACGTGTCCACGCACGCGTTCAAGCAGCGCCCCCGTCTCCCCCGTCTGCCACCTCGCACCATGCTGCAAACCATGATGACGCCTTATCACACGGTCAGTTAGTTGTTGCCTCTTAACCCTCCCATGGTGAAGCCTACATGTCATGCAGCTCGTCAGTTTCCTCCTTTTTACCTCCCCCCTCCCCCCCTACCTTGCCGCCACCAGGCGCGTGTCTCCGCCCCCCTCCGCGCCCGTGCCCCCCAGCACCGCCACCTCGTACCGGTAGCCCAGCCCCTCCAGCCACACCAGCTTGCGACTGGAGGGGGAGCAGATGGAGGACAGGTCGACCAGGGCGGAGGCCTGGGGGGGGGGGGGGGGAAAGGGAGGGAGAGGGGGGGAAGAAAGGGGCAGAGAGACCCGTGGGTCACATGGGTCAGGTATCACAGAGCGGGGCGTGGGATGGAGCAGCTGCAGCGGAAGTTTCAGAAGCGGAAGCGAGCGAGCCGCACCCTCCTACAGCCCCCCCTCCACATCCTCCTGCTCCTCCCCCCACTCGCATGCCGCGCCACCTCCCTCACACCCACCCTCCTCCCTCTCCCTCCTCCCCCACCCCCACCCCCCCACTCACGAAGCCCCACAGTGCCGTCCGAGTGCTGGCGTTATACTCGCACGGCGACCCGCATCCCGGGCTGATGGGGTCGGCGATGCCAAACGTCTCGCCCGCCTCCACCCCGGCTATGAAGATGGGCTGCCGCGCCACCACCCCCGCGCCGCCCTGCAGGAAGGCCATGGGCCCCACCAGGGTGGTGGTGTTGTCCGCCACCGCCCGCACCGCACCCGCGCGGTCGCTGGCGGCTGGGGGGAAGAGGGGGGAGGGGGGCGAGGGGGGGGGGAGGCAGGGAAATGGAGGGAAGGAGGATGAGCAGGGTTGGTTGGAGGATTAGGACGGACAGGACGCCGGGAGGGAAGAGGACTGGAGGAGAGCACGGGCGGGGCAAAACCCCGCTCCACTCCAGGTCCCCGGCACCACAGCCCCTCCCGCTGTGCCCCTCTAGGCCCCTCCTGCCCCCCGCCCCCCACCCACATGCGAACAGGTCCAGTCCTAGTGCCGTCTCGTTGCCCCGCAGCGGCACCACCTCGCGCACCACACCGTGGGGGGCCAGCTGCAGCTGCAGCGTGGTGTTGGGGGGAGTCTGGGGGGGGATGGTGGGGTGGAGGAGGGAGAGGGGTTTACAGTATAGGGGTCAGGGCGGGACCCAGCATGCATGAACGCCTGCGTCACGTTGCTCACCCGCCACGGGGCAATCCAGGGCGGGCCCCTCCTTCCCTCCCTTTCCCCACCCCCCAAAGTGCACACACGGTCAGTTAGTTGTTCCCGCTTTCCCTCCCCCCTCCCTCTTCCTCCCTCGTACCCGCGCCAGCATGATTGGCGCCAGTCCCCGGAACAGCGGCCCCAGCTGGCCCAGCTGCGGGTCGAAGGCCACCATGGCGGCCGCCAGCTCCAGGGGGGCGAGTGCGGCCGCCAGCTGGCCCGACACCCAGGAGGCGGCATCCAGGGCCAGGATGGCGGCGTGGTCCTGAGGGAGGAGGGGGTAGAAAATATACTTAATGAGACACTGACGAAGCAACTGACAAGCTGTATGACATGTAGGCTTCACCATGGGGTGCAGGGGGGGAGGTATGGTGGAAAGGAGGTGGAGGAGAGGGTGGAGGTGGTGTGGTATGGGAGTGGCAGGGAATGGCATGCTGGGCAGAGGGAGGCCGGTTGCATGGGGGGGGGGCCATGGACAGTTATGGTCCGGGAGGGTACTACAGATGGGAGTGTGGGAGAGTGGAAACACTTTGAGCGGTGAGGCGCTCGTGGTCATCCCTTTCATGACATGGAATACCACCTCAACGTTGATGTGGGTCAGAAACTAGGACGCCTTTCAGTGTTAGTCGCGGCAATTCTCTCAGTACAGCATGTGTTGCATTAAGTGCTAAGCTAAGGCTCTGCCTGGGAACTGCCCGTCGCCATACGCGCCAAGCCTTTACTGTTAAGTGTTGGGAGCATACGTGGCATTACACGAGTTGCAATCCTCCAGGGGTCGCAATACAAGCGGTTAACTGCACAGATAGAAAGTCCACTTACCCTGGAACTGCTTTCTTGGGACGTGTGCACGTGTCTAACTCCCCATATTCCAACAGCCAGAATAACTCCGAGCACCAGCAAGGGCGGGACTAACGTGTATAGTGGATGCAAACGAACAATTCGGCAAGCTACCTGTAAGGTTGCGAAGTATGTACGGGACTTTTCTGTAATGAAAGGCTGCATACCATTTTATTTCTCCGGCAATTCCAAGGGCCACAGCTGGTCACGTACCAAAACTTCCGCCTTTGCCCTCTTCAAACAGTTACACCCGCCGCACGCCGACTCCTTGTTTGACGATGTGGAATGTGCCCTTGAGTGGGCCTCCATGTTAGGAGGAGGCCCGCGGGCAGGATACGTTCACAATGACACCCCTCGTGTTTGGCGAGTCAGCTGGACAAATGTTTCACGATGTCAGCAAGAAAAGCATGTGCAAGTAGTCTCTATGTACGGTTTACATGAGGGTTTCTCTTATGGATAGCGAGGAACAAAGGTCCAGCTACGAATATTGCTAGAGTACGGTGTTGACGACGAGACGCGCATGGCGACGCGTTATAACTCAATTCGAATGCGTAACTGTTTATAAACAGTTTATAATTCCAATCGTATTCTGTATCGCCTGTTTGCCTAGCCTTCGGTGTGGGGCTCGGGCAAAGTCCAGTGGGGCTTCCGGGTATGCGTGACGGTGCGGCGAAGTTTGTTTCCTAGCCACTGGGAAATGGCAGACCTTAGGCCTTACCGCAACGAAACATCTTGTTTTGCTTCCTCTCAGGTTGCCCTTAGGTCATGCTCATGCAGTATGCAACAGTCTCTGCCCGCTTGTCTTCGTGCGCATACATCGCACCAAAGCCTCCGTGTTACATTAACACCCATATCTTGCCCAACCAATCCGTGCAGAGGAGAGGATCCCAGATCAGCTACTAAAGTGGGGTCAAGAGAGACGGTTGCCCCTAAGGGATCCAACACGGCGACTCGTCCCTCCACCACCACGTGCACTTGGCCCGCCACGACTGCCAGTATACCGCTAGTAGGGCCTTCCAAGGTCAGGCGGCGGGTTGATCTTCCTTTCCGTTCATATCCATTCAGATTCCGTTCGTTTTCGACATCAAAGTACCGGTAGCAGCCGAGGGCAGACACCACGACACACACACGTGTGCTCATCAGTACGGCATGTACGGCAGCAGAACTCTTCGCACGGTACGGCAGCACGCGCTCCCATGCATGGCACGCAATGCTACTCCTCCACACCCATCGCGCCGGTACCCCCCCCCCCCCGCCCCCGCCCCACCCTTCTCCCACCCACCGGGCACTAAGATTCTACCCTACTCGTCCCCACCCCACCCCGCCCCACAAGTTTGGCTACCGCTATATACAATCCTGAAACCTAGCCCAATGCGGAATATGTATTCCTATTGGCCCCCCCCCCCGCCTAGGGACTACTAACCAACACTTTGGCACCCTGCCGCCTCCTACCCCCATTGCTTTGCCCTAACCTGTGGTCTCCTATGGTTTGGTACCTGATCTTTGACCCCCCGCCTCGCTAGCCCAGCCTCCTAAACGCCATCCACTAGCACAGCCCTGATCTAATGCCCAACATACACATCATCTTCCGTCAATCCAGTACGCTCCTACTCGCGGCCAGCTTTCTTAACACACACCCTGTCCTGCTTCCTCCGATCCTCCTCCTCACACCTCCGGCCGCTCCCCATCATCCACCACCACCTCCTCCTCCTCCGTCAGCAACACCGTCAGCAGGGCTCGTCGGTTGCGACCCGCATCCGCCGCAGCCCCCGCCGCCAGCGGCGGCAACCACCAAGCCCCCACCGCCACCGCCAGCCGCGCCGCCGTCAGGCCGTTACACGCCGCCGCCGCCGGCGCCAGTGCCGTACGAAACAGCCTAATCAGCTCCGAAACCGCCGCTAACTGATGTGGGTCGCAGTGCGTGCGCAGCAGCGCGACGGCGTCGGCGGCGGAGGCTGGCGGCGCGGCGGCGGCGGCGTCAGCGGCGGCGGCGGGGATGAGTGTGTACGGCAGCTGGCCGCACCAGAGCAGCAGCAGCGCCGCCAGGGCGTGCGGGGGGGTGCCGGGTGGGACCTGCCCGCCCGCGTCCAGATGGAGCCTGTATAGCGAGTGGGGGAGTGGCGGGGGGGAGTGACGGGGGTGGGGCGGGGGAGTGACGGGGGTGCGACGTGGGGGGCGTCCTTACTCGCAGTACTTAACTCACGGCACGCGGCACGCGGACACCCATGCATGCCCACATGCCCGTGCCTGCCAGCAGGGTAGGGTACCAACAGGATACACATCACACAGGACACCCACACGCCACCAAAACACACACGCTCTCCCCCCCCTTTCCCCCCTCCCCCCGCCCCTCACCTCAGCCAGCTCAGCTCCCGCACCAGCGCCCGCTGCGCTCCCACACTCCGGGGCTGCATCGCCTCCGCCGCCTCCGCCTCCGCCGCCTCCTCATCTCCACCACCACCTCCTGCCGTACCACCCACTGCACCAACCCCTGCCGTACAAGCCACCACTCCCTCCGCGGCCCCTGCCGCTTCCGCCTCCGCCGCCCCCGCCCGCAGTAGCACCAGTGCCGCACTGTCCACCAGCACCCCCGGGGTCCGCAGCGCCGCGCCGCCCCCCGCACGCAAGGCGGCCAACAGCGCTGCCACCTCCTTGGGCAGCACCCGCAGCCCACCGGCACAGACCCCGGGGGCCGAGCAGTCCTGCTGCTGCGGTTGCTGCTGCTGCTGCTCGTCTTGTTGTTGCGGCTGCTCTTCCTGTGGCTGCAGCTGCAGCGGCGGCAGGCCCAGCTGGGCCGCCAGCTGCTGCGCTAGGGCGGGTGGCAGGAGGGGTGTGCGGCCGAGCTGGGCTAGGGCGGGCAGGGGCAGGCCTAGGAAGGAGCGCACGTGCCGGCCTGGGGGGTGGTGGTGGTAGGGAGACGCGGGAGGGGGGCGAGGGCGTCGTAAACACGCAGAGAAGGTCCCTTAGGCGCAGGAGGCATGCGGGAGAGGCATCATGCGCTGCCCGGCCGGAAGGGCACGTGGGGGGGATCCTCCCCCTGCACCCTGCGTGCGTGTCTCCGAATGCGCTCACTGCATGAGTCGGGATATGGGATTGGGACTCGTTGTTTCACATATTTAATTTTTTCCACCCTGCATGCATGCATGACCGTTGCATGACCGTTGCATGACTGTAGCATGACCGTTGCACCTCCTGCTGCTGTCCCAACTCCCAGCCGTACTCGCCCCCGCCGCACCCCCCACCCCACCTGCAATGCTAATGAACTTGTCGCCCGCGTCCTCCACCCGCAGGATGGCGATACACTCCAGCGGCACCAGCGGGCCGGGCGGCAGCAGCGGGGAGGAGGGGGAGGGGGAGGAGGGGACTGCTGCTACTGCTGCTGGGGGTGCTGCAGCAGATGGAGGGACTGCTGTCGCTGCTACCGCTGCTGCTGCTGGGGTTGCTGGTGCTGCCATCATCAGCTCCCCAGCTGCCCCTCCGGGACCCCCCTCCACCAGCACCGTCAGCACCACCTCGCATGTCTGACCTGCATGGAAGCAGGCAGGCAGGGGGGGGGCAGGGGGGGTTAAAGACCACACCGAACCATAGGAAGCCACAAGGGGGCCCCGGCAGGTTGGGGCATGCAGGGTGGGGGCAAACATGAAGGCAGGCAGGGCGACAAGGAGGGAAGGATCTTTTAAATAACTCCAAATCCCCCTCGCTTGGTGTCGTACGACACCCCCACCCCGGTACGGCACCCACCCGGCGCCAGCACCCCCTCCGCCGGCTGGCTGCTCAGCCAGGGCGGCAGTGCGGGACCCTCCTCCTCCTCCTCATCATCATCATCATCCAGCAGCCCAACCAACATGCCTCCTCCTGCTGCTCCTCCTCCACCACCACCGGTGCTCCCAGCTCCAGACCTCCTAGCCTGCAGCCCCTGCACCTGCTGCCCCTGCTGTGGCGGCAGCGGTGCGGGGGTGGGGGGTCGCGGCGGCGGCACCCAGTGCCACACCGCCTCCACCCCGCCCTCGTTCCGCAGCAGCATGCGCAGGCGCACCGGCCGCCCCGCCGCCACCCACTCGCCCGCATCCAGGCACACGGGCGACACGGAGACCCTGGCAGGAGGGTGAGGGGGGTGGGGTGAGGGGTGGGGTGGGGTGGGGTGAGGGGTGAGATGAAGGAAGGAAGAGGGCTGGCGCGTTGCACATTGCATGTTTTCACAGAACCTCATGTGACCCATGGGTCGCTCCCGCCCCCTCCGGTCCTCACTTTTATATAATTTTTCCCCCCTCCCTGCCCTCCCCCTACCTGGGCCTCAAGCTCTCCTGCAGTCGGTCCACCTCCCGCCGCGCCGCCGCCAGCAGCGCATCCAGCCGCCGCCGGTCGTAGCGAAGCACGGCGGCGGAGAAGAGCGCGGCAACCTGGGGGGCGGAAGGGGGAGGGGGGGGTAAACTTAAGGAAAACTGACGAACTGTACGACGAGGCTTCACCATGGGTTGCTCCATGGGGGGAGGGAGGTGTTAAGAAAGCTGGCCGCGAGTCGGAACTGCCTCTCGTCGGGGAACGCTGAAGCATTCTCATACAGCCGGCATCAGCTTCCTCTCTTTACCCCCTCCCCCCCCCATAAGCCCCCTCATCAGCCCCCACCCCCCACCGGCTTGTGATCACTGTGGGCGAGCTCCCCCCGCCAATAGCCCAGCTGGACCAGACCGGGGCGCAGCGGGGGCAGCAGCAGCGGGGGGGAGGAGGGGGAGGAGCTGGCTGCTGCTGCGGGCCCTGCTCCTGCTCCCCCTGCTGCCGCCCCCACCCCCCTCCCCCCCCCCGCCGCCCCTCCCGGGCAGCACCACAGCACTCGGTCGCACCAGGCGGGGGTGCGCAGCTTAGAAGACAGCGCGGGGGCAGCAGGGGGGACAGGGGCAGGGGGGCCGGGGGCGGGGACAGGGGGGGCGGGGGGGCCAGGGGCAGGGGGGGCAGGCGCAGGACTGCCCGCGACCCCTGCAGCAGGAGCAGTTGCCACCGGGGGGCGAGCATGGGGGGGAGGGGAAAGGGAAGGGGAAAGGGGCGGTGGAGGGTCGGCGGCAGAGGGATGGGTGGGTGGGTGATTGGAGGTGGAGGCGTTCTTCAGGCAATGGTCAGCACCAGCAGCAGCACCAGCAGC